ACAGCAACACTTTCAGGCTGTGGGGAAGGAGCTGCAGCCTTGGACCCCCGGGGACTGGAAAGAGAGGTATGACTCTGGACAGGGGATGGGAAAGGACCCTTCTGTCAGGACGGCCTCCCTGAACCCTGTGGGGCCGGCACTCTTCCAGTCCCCACTTCCTGCAGAAGATCTCGGATGCCAAGCTTCGTGTCTGGGCGCAGCAGCTGAACCAGATCTGGAAGAAGCTGGGGAAGCAGGTAACACTGTCCTGGGGATGCCCAAGGGTCTGGCCCACAGCTCTGGGAGTGGGAGATGGATGGTTGTTGGGCTCCTGGACCAGACCTCTGCCTCGGGACAGTAACTGCTGCTGCTGTGTGTGGGGAGCCCTCCCTCAGCACAGTCCCAAGGAACTTTCTCCCAATTATTTGAGGCTCAGAGAGGTCCGTAGTTTGTCCACCTGGAGGATCCCCCTGAGTGGTCTCCCAGGACCACCTGAGCGCTCTCCAGTGGCCTGTTTGCTGGCATTGAGAGCTGCTCAAATCACCCTCGACAGCTTGGCCACCTTCTTCCTCACAGGGACCCACCTGTGCCCCGTTCTGCTAGTCCCTCAAAATGACTGAGGCAGGCTGAGCTTCCACTGATACCATGCACACTAGAACTTGGACAAATGGGCAGAGAAAGGAGCTGCTGAGCCCTGTGCAAGCCCCACACTGCTCCTGCCCTTGCTGTCCCTCGGCCTGATTCCTGGGGAAAGGCATTCACCACAGCTGGGGAAGCATTTGAGATTTTGTTCCCACCTGCCAGAGCTGGGGGTGGGAGGCTCGCCCATGGGGCCTGACTTGGATTGGTGGTAGCCACCGAGAGGTGGGAGTGGAAGGGAAATGAGGGCCAGCACCCCCTCTCCTGCTTAGGCCCCCAGGTTGCTGCCTGGTGGTCACCTGCCAGGTGCCAAGCTGAGTGGTCAAGGCTTCCACACACCGATAGGTTGAGCCAGGACCCTGAAGGCTGTGGAAGAATGAGGATCCGAAGGCTCCTCATGGCCATGCAGCAGCAGAGACAGATCCTGGCTCCTCAGCCATGGCACCAGGGCCTCTGCCCCCATCACCATAGCCTCCACCCTTGTGTGGCAGGTAGGCTCCCCTGTACCCTCTCTCCTGACTCCAGATAAAGCCAGAGGTTCTCAGCCAACCTGAACGATTCTCTTTGATCTACTCAAAACACCCCTTCATTGTGCCTGGCGGGCGCTTCGTTGAGTTCTACTACTGGTGAGAATCCTCAGGGGTTGGCAGTGGTGGGGGACACAGGGATAGTACCCGACTGGCCTGGCTGTTCAGGGCACGAGGGCTGACGCCTGACTGCCCCCTTTCCCAGGGACTCCTACTGGGTAATGGAGGGTCTGCTCCTCTCTGAGATGACAGAGACTGTGAAAGGCATGCTGCAGAACTTCCTGGACCTGGTGAAAACGTAAGCAGGCTCCTTCAGATGGGACTGGGCAAAGCAGGCTTGCAGCTGGATCCGCCTTGGCCATTTCACCAGGCCCCCCCTTTTTTTGGCAGCTATGGGCACATCCCCAATGGCGGGCGCGTGTACTATTTGCAACGGAGTCAACCCCCGCTCCTGACCCTCATGATGGATCGCTACGTGGCTCATACCAACGACATCACTTTCCTACGGTGGGTCCCCCCCACCTTGTGCTGCCCTGCAGGACTACCCTTACTGGAAACCTCCCAGGAGGGGGGCCACCCTGTGCTTGGGCTGAGGCTCCGCTGCCTGCACTGCAGGGAGAACATCGAGACCCTCGCCTTGGAACTGCACTTCTGGACAGTGAATAGGACCATCTCTGTGTACTCAGGGGAAAAGAGCTATAACCTGAATCGCTATTATGTCCCTTCTGGGGGACCCAGGTAGGGAGCTGCGCCCTGCCACACACACACACAGTTTTCTTTTCCATTCACTCTGGTTTGAGCATCACAGACCCAGGATTGGAGGAGCTGCCATTTAGCCTGGCCTCTCAGATGGGGATGCTGAGAGCCCTGAGCCACCTAGGGCTGTGGGGCCCAAGGGCAGCTGAGTGGAAATAGCTCAGTCTCCTGCTTGAGCAGAGGGGCCGAGCACCTCCTAGTGCTAGTCCGTACCTCTCCTCTTTGCTAGGCCCGAGTCCTATAGCAAAGACGCTGAGCTGGCAGAGACCCTGCCCGAAGGTGAGCAGCACGAGGCTGGGGGGAGGGCAGCTGGGCTCCTACAGTGGGTGTCAGGCCTAGGTCAGCTGCTGCCTTGTTCTGCTCTGTCCTCCCAGGGGACCGAGAGGCTCTGTGGGCCGAGCTCAAGGCTGGGGCTGAGTCTGGCTGGGACTTCTCTTCTCGCTGGCTGGTTGGAGGCCCAAATCCCGACTCACTCAGCAGCATCCGAACCAGCAAATTGGTGCCTGTTGATCTGAATGCCTTCCTGTGCCAGGCAGAGGGGCTGATGAGCAACTTCTACTCCAGCCTGGGTGAGCACAGCCCCCCTGGAGGAGGGGACTGACCAGCTTGGTTTTCTGCCTTGGCTAATGGGCCTGGCGGTAGGGAAGGCCTGCCTGCTCAAACCCCATCATTGGCAAGGTCAGTGAGTCATCTCTGCAGTAGCATAAATGTACTGGGCCCCCCTCATCATCACACTACCCCTCCCCTTCCTACTGTGAGTCCTCGAGGACCTGTGGGGGGACACCCCAGTCCACAAATCCAAATTCTCCCATTCCCTTTTTCCAAAGCTACACCTGGCCCTCTCAGAACCAGGGGGACACACACAGAGAGACCCAGGCAGGCCCAAGGAGCAGTCCAGGGCCATTTGCTCAGGGATTTTATGCCTCAGAGGCTTGAAAAGTGGTGGGCTCTGGAGAGGCATGGCCTCTTGACCAGGATGGCTCAGCCCCTGGGGAGGAGCACAATAATGCAGATTAAAGGAGAGTCAACAAGGGCAGGTCTCTGCTTGTTCAGTCCAAATGCAATGCCACCACCAGGGAACGACTCCCAGGCTGAAAGGTACAGAAACTTGCGGGCCCAGCGCTTGGCCGCCCTCAATGCCCTCCTGTGGGATGAGCAGAAAGGTGCCTGGTTCGACTACGACACAGAGAAGGGCAAGAACCTGGAGTTTTACCCTTCCAACCTCGCCCCGCTCTGGGCCGGCTGCTTCTCTGACCCTGCCACCGTGGACAAGGCTCTGAAATACCTGGAGGTGAGGGACAGCTGGCCGCTCTGAGCCCCTGGAGACAGGACTGCCCTCTACTCACTGAGCAGGGACCTGGCAGGCCAGCCACCTACCCACTGCTGTCTGTGCCTGTCCTGCCTGCGGGTCCCACTCAGGCCACCAGGGGACAGCTGTGAGCCAAGAAGAGGAGGGGAGGAAGGGCCCCTCTGCTCCCTGAGGGCCCAGCATCCTGGCTCCCTGCCCAGGCTCCACCCACAGTCCCAGCAATGTCTGGAACCTTCTAGGACAGCCAGGTCCTGACCTACCAGCATGGGATTCCAACCTCTCTCCGGAACACAGGCCAGCAGTGGGATTTCCCCAATGCCTGGGCCCCCCTGCAGGATCTGGTCATCAGAGGTAGGCAGGTGGGAAGGGGATCTGTGCCAAGGTGGACCCCAGTTGCTCCGGGACTGGGGAGGTGACTTAAGGATGTGGGACCCCTGGTCCTTTCTCTGTTCTCTCTGCCCCACAGCTAACACATCCTCCCCCCTGTCCAGTATAATCAGCCCTCCTCTCCCTCCAAACCTGGGCCCAGGGTTGAGTACAGGGTGGCCTCTGGTTCAAGAGGCCACTCTGGCCCCGCTCAAGAGGTCTCAGGACCCAGCCAGGCTTCATTCCCTCCGTGGGGACAGTAAGGCCCAGTCTGTTGTGCCAGGGACGGGGGCTCTGGGGATTCAGGTTCTGTTTGGGGTGGGGTCTAGGCTTGGCCAAGTCCTCTTCGCCTCGGACCCAGGAAGTGGCTTTCCAGCTGGCCCAGAATTGGATCCGAACCAACTTTGATGTCTACTCCCAAAAGTCAGCCATGTACGAGAAGGTGAGCTGGCAGGGGGTGTTCTTTGTCCCTCACTTTCCTCCCCCAGGCGAGGTGGGGAAGAGTCAGGCTTGGCAGACCCTGGACTGTGCAGCCAGGACAGTGGCGGCGCCCAGTGGCCACTGCCAGGCACTGCAGGGGCCAGAGCTTCAGGCCAGAGCATCTCCCAAGGGCTCCAAGGCTGGTTGCCTGGGGCTGGAGTGGTGGCTTGGGGACAGCTCCTGACCTACAGCTTGCCCTCTTGTCCCCAGTATGACATCAGCAATGGTGGACAGCCAGGTGGAGGAGGGGAGTATGAAGTTCAGGTGAGCAGGCCAGGGCTGAGCTGGCCAACACCTTACAACTCCTGGGCTCCACTGTCCACAAGAACCGACTTGACCCTCTGGGCCCCAGTGTGCCCTGTCTGGGGGCCCACAGGGAGGACCTGACTGGTGCTCCTTGGTACCCCTGGGGATGGGCGGGACAGAGCTCCTGGGGTAGGGAATCCCACACCCTCAAAACAGAGGCTTGGGCTCCCCCGAGATCTGGCCCCACAGGCCTTGCCTGTCTCCAGGAGGGGTTTGGCTGGACCAATGGAATGGCCCTGATGCTCCTGGACCGCTATGGTGACCGGCTGACCTCGGGGACCCAGATGACTCCTCAGGTGCCCCCCTGCCTGGTGGCTGCCCTTCTGTTCCACCTCCTGCTCAGCTTCCTGCCGTGGTGACCAGGGACTAGCAGGGTGGCCTCACCACTGCCCCTGCCTGCTGCACTTCCTCCTCTGGCTCCAGCTCCTCCCCTGCCTCCTCTGCCCCATCTCCCAGCCTGCTCTGTTCACAGTGCAGGGGGCAGGGCAGTGGCCTGGAGGCCAGGTGGTGGGGCTAGGGCCCTTCTGGAACCCTTGATGGGGTGTTAATCCTGCAGGGTAAAGACACCGCCCCGCCTCCCATGTACCCCAGCCCCATGCCCCACACAGTCCGTTCTTCCACACACTTACATAGTCCAAATGCTTTATTGTTCTGCTTATTTGTAAATGCTTACCAATACTGAAAAACACCCAGCCTGGCCCAGGCCACAGGGACCCGGGGCTGGGGAGGAGGGCAGGGGAGGTGGGCTTAGTGTTAAGGCGGCAAAGGGCTGAGGCCAGACAGCTGGAGGCTGGTCCTCCACTCCCCTTTTCCATCATCCTTAGGAGGCTGAAGGGTGGGCAGTGGAGCTCAGGCCAGTCCCTCTGTGGCTCCCTCCTGCCCAGTCCTTCCCTCTGAGAACTCTGAGCCACCCCCCTTCCTGTCCGGAACTCAACCCTGTAGGACCCAGAGGACACCCTTTGGCTTCCTCTCCCAGGTGCTGGCTGTCCCTCTGGTCACAGATCTCCTGCATCATCCCTTCTGGCTCTAGGCAAGGCACGAGTGAAGGGAGAGGGCTGGCGTGGGGTGCCGCAGGCTGCACGTCTGGGGACTAGACACAGGCAGGGGGCGGGGAGGTGCTCAGTCCTTTCCCCCTGCATGAGATTACCCCGCGCCTGGGCTGGAGAGATGATGGCGCGTACCCTCAGATGGCCCATCACTGAGCAGTGGGCTCAGCCATGGAGCCGCTGCAGTTAGTATGTAACCATGACAATGAAGCGATCACCATGGAGATCATGGTGATGGTTCTCCAACCAGGGAATGGGGCTGGAACCTCAAGGGTGACACTTGAAGTGTCTGTCCCTCAAGCAAATTAAAAACAGAAACGAGGGAGACAGTGAGGCAGAGGGCGCTGGAGCAGTGCGCTGCCTGCGCTGGTGCCCCACGGGGTGGCTCTGCTCGGCCCCAAGGCCCTGCAGGGCGGAGGCAAGAGGATCTTTGGCAGAATCTGGTACCATAATTAGTCCTTTACAAAGAGAAAACAGACTGGGGAGAGCAGGTCAGATTGAGCCTCTGTGGCAGTTCCTCCACGGTGTGGGCCGGGCACCGGGCAGCATTCTGAACAGGAACTGCGAGTTCTGGGCTCCCAGGAGGCAGCAAGTCCCCTCCCACCTTCCTCTTCTGAGCCCAGAAACTCATAGGACTGAATCCCTACAGAGTACCACAAAGTCTTCTTGCACAAAGGCCCTGGCCGCTCCGTTACATCCTGCTCCTGTGAGGGCTGGCGCCGGCTGTGCAGCAGCCCACAGGGGCCAGCAGAGCAGCAAGAGGCTGGCGTGGGTCCTGGGGCCAGCCTGAGGGTCCCGGAGGCCACGGCAGTCAGTTCATAAACTGAGTGTAGCCCTCAGCCCCTGTGACGATGACATCCATCCAGATGCGCATGGCCTCCGCAGACGGGGCCACCATGTAGTACAGTCGGTCATGGGTCTTCACGCAGAAGGTGAGGGCTGGGTTCGGGCTCTGTCAAGGGAAGAGAGGAAGGGCTGAGGCAGGGCTCGCCAGCCTGGAATATTCTCCTCACCTGCCTCCTGTCTGCCTTTCCCTCAGCCCCAGGAAACCCCAGAGCTGAAGGCTATGTCCACATGCGCCAGGTGGAATGTTCCCCTTCTCACACCATGGCAGTCCTGGGCTTTCTGTACTGTTTTTTTTTCTTTTCTTTTTTTTAGTACCAGGGATTGGATTGAACTCGGGGATATTCAACCACTGAGCCACATCCCCAGCCCTTTTTTGTATTTTATTTAGAGACAGGATCTCACTGAGTTGCTTAGTGCCTCGCCCTTGCTGAGGCTGACATTGAACTCGAGATCCTCCTGTCTCAGCCTCCCGGGTCACAGGGATTACTGTTTGTTGGTCCCCCTCCAGTTTCAGAAGCGAGTATGAAAGAATAGATCACAAGAAGATACTCCAGTGGGGATCAGAGTTTTTCAGCAAAAAAGAGGCAGGAAAGAGCTATCAGCAAGGTGCCAGGAGGGGACCCAAAGAGCAGAGGTCAGGATAGAGCTGGCATGGGAGGAGCTGGCGAGAAAAAGGTGGCACGCAGTAGGGCTGCTGGCCCCTGCCCCAGACACCTCTTGTTCCCTCCCAGATCTAGTCTGAGGCCCCTCGACCCCTTCTAGCTCCCGCTCTGCACTGCCCGCCCCCACCCCCCACAGCGCAACAACCTGCTGCCACCAGATTCAAGCCCACAGGTGCTTCTTGCTCTCTCTCCTCCCTCAGGCCTGGGCAAGTTAGAGCGATGGAGGGGAGAGTCAAGGTCAGGACAGTGGACTCAGAGGTGTTAATGTATGTAGCTATGGTTACAGGCACGTGGGGAAGGGTACCTCAGTCACCATAGTGAAGTGGAAAAACCTCTTCTGAGAAGGGGAGAGGGAGAAAGGAAGAGGAAAGTGACAAAGAGAACAGGGACTCAGTCGGAGCCTCCACAGAGGGCAGGCTGGAGGCCTTTGCTCCCAGAGTCCAGCTGGCCCACCCTTCCCTGTGGCGGCCCCTGCTGCCCCCCTCTGGTGCTCCACCTCTGACCTTGGCTGCACTGCGCAGGTGGTCATAGTACACTTCCTCGATGGCCTGGAAGTAGATGACCCCCTTCAGCTTCGTCTCATGCTTGTCTGCAAAGGGAATAAGGTCCAGGTGAGGAGGCCCGCCATCCTTCAGGACCCGGGCCTGAACTTCCCCGTCTGGGAAACGGGGTGATGGTCCTAGCCTCCTGGACTCCGAAACAGTGCTCAAAAAGGGAGCCCCGAAGACATGGATAATGCTCAGCACATAATTAGAAAAATGCAAAGTAGAACTCTAGAGAGAGGCCTCTGCTCACCTGTCAGAATGGCAAAAGTATACAAAAAAACACACCACACTTTTGGCAGGGCTATGGAGAAAGAGGTAGTTTAATAAATGAAAACAGGAATATAAACTAGAAAAACACTTTTGGACAATTTTCTCATGTCTATCAAAATTAGTAGGGAAGTAGCACATGCCTGTAATCCCAACTACTTTGAGGCTAAGGCAAGAGGATCATAAGTTTGAGGCCAGCCTCAACAACTCAGCAAGACCCTAAGCGACTTAGCCCTATCTCAACAGAAAAAAATATAAAGGGCTGGGGATGTGGCTCAGTGGTTAAGTGTCCCTGGGTTCAATTCAGGGGTACTCTACCACTGCAAAAAAAGAAAAGAAAAAATTTAAGCTGATAAATATGCCCCCACCTAGAACAGGGAGCCACTTGAGTTGAACCCAGGGGTGCTCTGCCACTGATCTACCTCCCCAGCCCTTTTTACTTCTACTTTTGAAATAAATGAGACAGGATCATTAAATCATCCAGGTTGGCCTGGAACTTGTGATCTTCTTTCCTCAGCCCCCCAAATCACTGGAATCACAGGTGTGAACACCACACAAGGTTTCAGTCTAAACATTTTCCTGATTGTTTGTTTATTTGAGTGTTGGGGCCAGAACCCAGGCCTTGGGCATGCTAAGCAAGTGCTCCTAGGGATGCTTAACCACTGAACTCCATCTCTAGCCCTTTTTATTTTTTATTTTGAGAAAGGTTTTCAGTAAGTTGCTTAGGGCAGTGCTGAGTTGCTGAGGCTGGCCCCATATTTGTAGTCCTTCTGCCTCAACTTCCCAAGTTGCTGGGATTACAGGCATGTACTAGGGCACCTGGCCTATATTTTGATTCTTGAACCATATAGATACATTTACTTCATTTTAAAACAGAAAGAAGGCACAACACAGAGCCCTGAAGTGCTCCATAGCACATAGCATCCAGAGGTCGGGGTGGCAGGAAGTGGGAGCATGGCCATTGGATGCAAGAGCAACAGGAAGGGAGAACTCAGGGCCTGGGCCGTCTTTGTGTGGCAAACACTGCGCAATCGCTACAACCGATGCCCTCAACCACGAGCCTGGGTCCTGCAGGAGAGGTCACGCCAATCTCTAACTCAAAGGTGAGAGCCGCAGTAAGCTCCTCCCTGTGGGCTCCTTGGGTAACTTTAAGTCCGAGTCGTGGCTCACCTGCGCCCGTGTCATGGCCGCGCTGCCTCCTTGCTCCAGCCTCCTAATGTGCCTGCCCATCCTCCACCACTCTTCTTCCAAGAAAATCTAAGCCTGCCGCTTCAGCCAGCCGCCTCCTCAGCTTGGCAAAGCCCTCTCACAGACTGGTGCCAACGCGACCCGCCAGCTTGTCTCACAACCTCCCCTGCAAGGCCAAGTTCTGTGGAGTTGGCCCAGCTTCTCACTATTCCCTTAACAGCACACGGAAATGGCCTCCTGCCCATTCCCTTGGCAAACTCCTATGTGATCTTCAAGACCCATTGCATGTGTGACCACTATGATGCACTCTCCACATAGAATCTACTATGCTGAATTGGACCTTCCTCCCTTCATGAATCCGCCTCGCTACCACCAATAGGTTCCAGGCCCACAGCAGGCGCTCAATCATTGTGGAGTGAATGAGCCCTAGGCCCTGGTGTCCGGAGGGAATTCAGAAATTCCTCTCCTAGGAAACAGCGGCACAACAGGGAGAAGGCACAGACAGCCTGTTCATTGGCAGGCATAGCTGGGGAGTCCACGCGCACCTACGCATCCTGGGTTGCCAAGAGTATTAACGTGAAAACACAAACAAAGTATGCGGCGTGGTGTCTGGCACATATTGCACATCTGTCACTGCATCATTATGCCCTGGGCTGATGTCACACGGCAGACAGACCCTGGATAATGGCAGGAGCTCAGAGGAGGGTGGGAACCTCTGCAGTAAGGTAGAGCCATGGAGGCTTTGCAGAGGCAGTGTCTGACCTGATCCAGTCCAGGGGCTTCCAGCAGGAGGCAGGAGGTGGTGTAGGCTGAACAGGCCAGGCCCCTCCAGTCCGGATCCAGCCCCATGCCCATCTCCATCTCTTCCTCGGGACAAGGACCCTGGCTCCAGGCCTGGCCAACAGCTAGGTTCCCATTATCTCCTATTCCTTCCTTCACTGGAAATAGTAACACGCTCTGCCTCCACTTCCTTACCACCCACCTATCCTTGATCTTGTGCAATCTGGCTCCTGCCCCAAGCACAGCAGAAACGTTTCTCTCCACAAACTCCAGTTCCTGAGTCTAATGGCCTTCGGGCCACATCATTCTTGGCCTTTCGTGCAGCATTCAGTAATGCTGGTGACACCCCCGGCTTCCAAATGCCTGCCCCTTTGGCTGGCTTCCTTCCCTGTATTCACTGCCTGCCTGAACTCGGTCCCCTTTTATTTCTTAAACAGTAAGGAAGGTCACATATGCCAAGAGCCAGCCCTGTGGCACCTGACATATGGTGGCACTGGTTTCCTGCTGCCTGCCTCTCCTGTCTCTGCTGGTCTCTCCCCCTTTCCCAAGCGGAGGCCTGCCCTGGATACAGCTCTCTCTCTCTTCTCTGCTCTACCTCGCAGCAGCTGTGAGACCCAGGGAAATCTATCTAACCTCTTTGGGCCTCATTTGTAAAATGGGTGTAAACTTATGCTTTTCTTGTAGGCTTGTTACAAAAATTAAATCACTAAATCAATGCATAGAGGGTGCTTAGCCCATCTCCTGGCTCATACAAGTACCTGATAAACAGGATCTGTTATATTGTAGTTGTTATTATTATCAGTCCAACAAATTCGGCTATCACTCTGCCTCTAATACTTTTTCCACACCTAGAAGTCTCGGAGGACCACAACATCAACAGGCCAAACCTGGAGTTCATCTCCCCAGCTGTGTTTCTCTCTCTTCCAAAAAAGTCCCTCTACCTTCTCAGTCCAGGTAGAAAGGTGGGGACACCTTGCCTCTTCCTCTCTCCACCTAGAGCCCAGGGAGGTCAGGGAAGGCTTCTTGGGGTATGTGTGTGTGGGGGGTGATACTTGATAAGGGACCAGGTTAGAGGAAGAAGTGGGACACTCCACATCTGGGTTTCCATGATACCAAATCCTGCAGCCTTTCCCCACTTCCAGGTTTCTAGTGGGATTGCTCTTCCTGGATTTGTGGCAGTGGGACTGTGTGACTCACTGAAAGGCCCCACCCATGGCTTTGGAACAGTTATGATGTGTGTCACTTCTAGGCTGGGGTATTTAATGCCAATGCAAGGCCCATTTAAGTATCTCTTTTCCCTCTGTCACTGTGGCCAGCAATGGTCTAGAAAGACATATTCTAAAGCAAAGACAACCCACAATGTACACCACATACATACTGGGAATAAAAAGGAAGACTGAAATTCTGAGCTACCAGAATTTGAGAACTGGTTGTTACTACAGCTTATCCTTGCTTAACCTGACTAGGATATACTCCAAGAGGTAAAAGTCCAAAAGGAGTTCCAGGGATAGAAACTACACCAGAGACAGAAGAAAGGGAGTTGAGGGAGCAGTAGGGGCCAGTTGTCTATCCCTGGACTATCCTGAGAGCCTCTTGGCACTGCTTAACTGCTTATCTTGGATAATTTCTAAGGGAACTTATCCAAAAGGGCATCCTCAGCCCACCCTGTGCACCTGCATTGTGTGGGGTGTCCCCTATCAGCAAACCCACTGTGTTTTGTTTTAATCTTTGTTCAGTGTTTGCCTTCATGGTAGTGAGTTCCAAGGGACAGAGCTTCCACTTTGCTTATCATTAGAACTTACAGTGGTACCTAGAATTTGTCAGATGCTCAGTAACACTGAGCGAATGAATGAATGAACAAATAACTAAATGGAGGTGAACCATGTAGACTCCATATACTTTCAGGAAGGGGAGGTCAGTTGTCCTGGGTGTTAAATCCCAGGGGTCCCAGTTCTGGGGGGCCCCAGGTGGTACTCACCCACATAGTAGGAAAGGGTGCGCTTGAGCCGGTCAAAGACAAACCAGCGCTTCTTCCAGGATTTAATCTTTCCACCCATCTTGACCAAGTAGCCACGGCAGACCTGGTGGGAAGCAGGAGTAAGAAAGGACCCAAAGCGCATCCCCTAAATCCTTCTCCCTGAGCAGACTCCATAAGTATGTGCTGTCCCCTGCGCCTGTATCCCCAGGGGCTATTCCCAGTATTTCTTCAGGCCCCAATCTCTCATTAGGCCAGCATACAGGTCCTGGGACACAGACCTCCTGAGGCTGGGAAAGGAACAGAGGCCACTATCCCAAGGCCCCAGGAATGCCTCTGATCACAGGACCCTGTCCCCAGCAGTCTGGGGCCACATCAGCCTAGTACCTTACTGCTGAGCACCACATGCAAGCAGGTATCCACACCATGGCCTGATGACTCGATGTGGGTCTTCAGGTCAAAGTCCTCCTTCCGGATAGGCAGGTAGCGGGTCAGGGGCCGTGCCTGGAGCAGGGAGCAGGGTCAGCATTCTCTTCTCTTTCCCCATCATTCCCTTGTCCTGGCCCCATGGCTTCTCTTGCATCCCCTACAACCTGGCACTCTCTCCCAACCCTCACTCTGTCCCTCAGGTTTCACAGGCCTGATGGCAAAAGTGAAGACTTACATGCTAACTCTACTTAGGCCTGAGCAAAATGCCAAATGAATCCTTGCCTCAGTTTCCCCACCTGGGACCAAGACAGTCATCCTCACCTGGCTCCTGCCCCTCCTTCCTCCTCCCTCCTGGGCTGAACAAAAGACCTGATATGAACATCCTCCAAGAAAAGAAGTCCAATAGCAAATCTGCTCTCTAGAGCCGGGGTGTAACTTGGTGGTGGTATGTGCAAGGCCATGGTCTAATCCCCAGAAATGTTAAAAACAATAAACCTGGGCATGATGGCACACATAAAACAGCAGGAAAAGGAAAAATCACAAATTAGTTAAAGAACCACAGAACATACAACTTCTAGAAGGAACCCCAAAGATGGACTGACTCTAGCCCCCTCTGATACCAGACACTGGCATCCCCTGCAGCATGACTGAGCCACAGAACAGGGACTGGAAGAGACAGTCACCAACTGAGGCAGGAAAAGAGAATTAGGCATTTGACAAAGATTCCGAGCTGAGCACAGTGTAATCCCAGCGACTTGGGAGCCTGAGACAGGAGGATCACAAGTTCAAGGCCGGCCTCAGCAATTTAGCAAGATCCTGTCTCAAAACAAAAAATAAAATAAAAAAGGAGCTGGGGTTGTGGCTGAGTGGCAAAGCACCCCAGGATTCAATCCCCAGTACCAAAAAGAAAGAAAGAAAAAAGATTCTGACAACAGAGGTGAACTGACCGAGTCCCTGATTGCTTCTTAATTCCCAAACCCACCCAGGTGATTTGCCCTTTAGCACTTATGTTGTTGTACTGCAGAAAACAGGTGACTGCTTGTCACCACTGTGGGGAGATCCCAGAGAACCCCCACCTGGGGAGGCCTGCAGAGAACCAATCAGAAGAGACGGCTCATCTGGATCCTACAGGTCCTCATAGGGCCAGGGGTTGGGAGCAGGGACACAGGTAGATGCCCTTTCCCAGCCCCATTTCTCCTTCTCCTGGCCCGCGTCTCCTGTGGAAGGGCTAGCTCGGGGCAAGGAGGGATCTCTGTCCGAGGAGAAGCTATGGCCAGGCTCTTGGAGTTGTGAACCCAAAGTCAGAGTGAGGTCATCTACCAACGAGGGATGGAGTGGAAAGATCCCATGCGGCTAGGGCAGGACACCGTGGGGTGCCATATGCAAGACAGGCAGCAGGGCAAGTGGGCGAGAGCGGGCAGCACAAATTCACAAAGTGGATGGGGGGCCAGAGAGAAGCCAAGGACGTCACACTGACTCTTGACTCTCAGCTCCCATGTCTGAGAGGCCTGTCCAGACCCTCTTCTCTGACTCCAAGGGTCTGTAGGTGGCCTGCCACAACCTCACAACTCACCTACCACCACCACCACCAACAACACACACACACACACACACACAGACTTGAACAAGCTCCAGTGGGTCTGTTTTGGGGGACCAACGGCAATCTTTTTGGGAGAACAAGTTTGACAGCCCACCAGAGGACATCCATCCTCCTCTACAGCCTTCACCATCAATCTGACCATTGCCCTACCCCAGCACCCACTCACCTGAGAAAACTGTTTCTCCCGCATCTTGACCTCCTTCTCCACCAGCTGCTGCCTCCGAGCGCTCTCACTCTGCAGCCTCCGTTCCACCTGTTCCCGCCTCCGCCGCTCCTCCTCCAGGGCCTGCCTGCGCAGCTCCATCTCCCTCTCCTGTCCCCAAGGTCAGGGGTCAGTTCCCAAGGAAGCCCTCTGTGCCCCCTGCTGGTCCTCCTCAGGCCTGCAGAGGGCTACAGGAGGCCTGGGACAGTGGCCAGGGCAGAGGAGGCACCGTCCTCAAAGTTCACCTTCTCTGAAAGCCCTGCTGGCTAAGGATAAGCCCTTTAAAGTATGACTGTCCCGGCTTCCAATGCTGGTTCTGCCACCATTATTACCCTCACAGAATCATTAAACTCTCTAAGCCTCAATTGCCTCATCTGGAAAATGGGTTTAAGAATGCCTATACCTGTCAAGCACAGAGGCACACACCTCAAATCCCAGCAGTTCAGGAGGCTGAGGCAGGAGGACTCCAAATTCAAAGCCAGCCTCAGCAACTTAGCAAGGCCCTAAGCAACTTAGCGAGACCCTGTCTCAAAAAATAAAAAGGGTTGGGGATATGGCTCAGTGGTTAAGCACCCCTGGTTCAATCCCTGGTATCAAAAAAGGGGGCATGGGGTGGATTAAAGAATGCCTACTCCTAGGATTATAATAAAAATTAAATGAGATCATGTATATAAATGTCCATCACTGATCCCAGAAGTAAAGTAGCACTCAATAAATAAATGGAGCTCTTAATACTTTATCTGAATTCCTAGAACATGGATTATTTGACAACTTTTTTTGACAGCTAGTATATTCAGTAGTCCTTCCCTAATCACTGATTTAAGGCCCTTGGAAACTTCAAATTAGTTTTTTGTGTAGTTAATATTTGTTATTGAACCTTAAACTTTATGGGGAAAAAATATGATAGGACACCAAGTTCACAAAGAACTTATATAAACCATCCCAAAAGGTATCACGGTCAATAAAACAATTCCTAAATACGGAGCATGTCTCAATACTTTATATGTCTTAAACAATGCTAAAAATTTTGCCATTTGCAATTTCTTCCTAGCTTAAAAACTCAGCAGAACATCTTTCCCTCTCCATTCACCAAGAGATGCTTTGTTCTACTTTGATGTAAATAAGACTGAGAGGCACTCTATTCTGGTCTGCCATCTATATGTTTAGAGTCTTTTAAAACGAACAAACGAAAATCTCTAGCTGCTGACTCTCGCTCTCATCTCAAAAGATGAAGAGCAAAAGAAAACAAAATATTTTTTTAAAGTAAGCCAAGTGTGGTGGCTTGAGCCCACAAGTTCAATGAGATCACCTGGGCAACATAGCATGATCCACTAAAATAAATAAATAAATGAAAATAAAGATGCAGAGTGCCTGGTCAGCCTCTGCAGACATTCTGCTGAACTTCTCTCCCAGGAACAGCTTCCCTCTGCCTTTTAGTTGCCCAGGATAAACCACTAGTCCCTCTTTTCTGAATCCCAGCTCCAAGCACACATGAAGAAGATGGGACTTTTCCAGAGCTCCCCAGCCAACACCTCTGCTCTGGCTTGAACAACTGCCTCCTCTCCCATCCTGGGCCTCAACCCCCAGTTCCTGATTTTCCTAACCACCCCCAAGAGGTATGACCTGCTAGACAGAAATCAAACTTCCCATGGTTCCCAAAAATCCCACATAAGGAAGCAATCAGATTGGAAGTTCCCATTCAAGAAATGCACGCTGGACAGGGTCGCTGTGCTGCCTTCCCCATGCTGAAGAGCTGTGAGGCTACATCCTGGACAAACCTCCTGTGCCCATTTGAGGAACACAGACTTTTTAAACACTCTATTCCCAAGGGAACAATGGGCACTTAATGGGGTGAAAGGGCTTGGGACAGAGCACAGGCCCTTGGCAGGCGGAGGGCAGCTCTGGGCCCCACTGCCTTCTGCCTCTTGGCCCAAGTTAGCCTCACCCTAGACTCCATGAGCCGGCTCTTCTCTGCATGAGCTTCTTTTAGCATCTTCTCCATCTCCTCAATCTTGCCCGCGTCCAGACCACTGGCACTGGGAGGGAGAAGGAAGAGAGGCTGCATCAATGAGCCAAGGGGACATGGTGGAGGTGGTGGGCCTGGCGCAGAGGTACCTGGACATGTTGTCAGGAGAACAGGCCGAATTGCCCCCAGTGGAGATGCTGGTCTCCATGCTGTCCGAGCTCTCCAGGCTCAGTGTGTCATAAGCGTGCTCACACTCGTCCCCACGCTCCCGCCCGGCTGGCAGGTGGTGCAGGATGGAGTGGTGCATGAGTGGGGGGTAGCCCGAGGGGCCTGCCTGGAAGGGCACTGCCCCATGCAGGGCATCCCACTGGCACTGCGCCTCCGCCGCCGCTTTCTGCTTCAGCTCAGCCAGCCGCCGCCGCTGCTCCTCGATCACCTGCTGCCCTGCAGGAGAGACAGGTGAGAGTCACAGTGGGCTACCCACCCAACCAGGAGAGGAGATACTAGCATCATCACAAATCATCACAGACAGAGGGAGGAGGCGAGCAGGGACAGGTTAACACAGGGCAGCCCTCTCCCAGCACCAGCTTCCCTGAAGCCCCAACAGCTCCAGACAAGCAACCCTGCCCAGGCTTCGCTGCCCGCACAACTGGCCACAGCGCACAGTCTGGTTTCACCATCCTTTCAGCATCCCGAGCCCACACAGGGCATGAAACTTGTCCAGGTGGTACCCTGGCAGCATGATGGCCAGCTGGCTGCAGCTTACAACCAAGGCCTGATCAGGGGAACAGGACACATGCACCCACTGCCTGCCAGGGGAGGAAGGAGACACGGACGCTGTTGGAGTATCGGGTTGCCAATGCAGCCCCCTGCAACGCAGAAGCAAGAGCAAGAGCAGGACAGAAGGCACCAGAGACAAGGAGCAGAGCTGAGGGCAGCCTGGGCGAGCTAAAGGGGCAAGGCCAGCGGGCACCCAGACCAGCTCGGCCTGGGAGCCTGCCTATAGGCAGCAGGGCCCTGGGCAGGACACATCATGCTGATGCTGGGGCGGGGGTTGCCTGGCCAAAGCAATGCCCTCAGTGACCAACGCTCTACCTGCTGGGTCGTCAGTTGGGAGGGGCTCGGCAGGAAGCAACTCGACTGATGTGGGGAACCCCAGGCAGAGGGTACGGAAGAGAGACACAGGGGGTGAGAGGAGAGAGAGGCACAGACATGGGCTTTTCAAAACAACCAAAATGCAAACGAGCAACAGGGACTCCTGGGTCCCCGGAGCCAATGTCTCAGGGAACCATTCTGGAGGTCTTCCAATCCATCCCCCTGCCTCCAGACAGGGCAATGTCTAGACCTACTTAGGTCAACAAACACTTCCCTTATTGGCTGGTCTCTCTAGGAGAGAAGATGTCACAACCCCCTAGACCCTTTGTCCCCTGTTCTGGAGTCTTCTTAATATCCAGTGATGCTCTTCCTTAGGCACCTAATCAAAATCCTTTCTGCTCTTGCCCAGAACCCAGTGAAGGAAAAACAGCCTGTGAAAGGTGGGGAGGGGGGTCCCCCAGGGAGCAGTGGGGCTGGCACCATGGCCACTCACCCTTCTGCTGCAGAGCCAGTTGGCGCTTGGTCTCAATGTCCTGCAATGTGGCTGCCAGGTTGCGGGGAAGGCTGCCAGTGCCATTCTGGGTGAGCAGAGCACTCTACAGAGGGAACAGAGGGCCGTCACGGGGGCTCAGCACCCCACCTCACCCCCAAGGCCTGCATGGGTGGTCTTGGCCTCTCCCCAACATGGCAGTCTCCATTTTCCCACCACCCTGTCCTCAGACCTTTGGAGAAGGGCTACGGCCCAGAGTAGCCACGCTGAGCTGTGAGGACGAGGAGGAAGAGCCAGAAGAGGAGGGGAGGGGGCCACTGCGAGTCCGGGGCAGGGGACTGGTGGCCTCACCATCCATCTTGGAACGGTAAACCTGGAGGGAAAAGACACTGCTCTGTGACCTCGGGCTCCCCCACTGGTCACACCCCCTTGTAACCTAGGCAGGCTGTGATCTCAGGTATTGCCTGGCACCGGGCCTCTGAGACCTTCTGGCTCCAGCTAACAAGAGCTTGAGCTTCCTCAGCCAGGCCAGTAGGGAGAGGCTCTCTGCAGCTGCCAGGCCTCCTTCGCAGACCATTTATTCCAAGGCCAATCCTTGGCTCAACCCTGGGTCTGAGAAAGGAACTGTAAATTGACCCATGCAAGGAGTCCATGTCAGTCAGGCAGATCTGCCTAGGACACCAACTGGAGACCAGTGTCCTTCCAGTCCTAGCTCTGCACTAACAGGCTGTGTGACCTCAGGCCATGCACCTCTGGACTCCGGGCCTCGGCTTCCTTATCTGCAAAAGGAAGGGGCAGCTCTAGACTAAATAACTGCCAAGCTCTCTTGCAACACTAACACAGAGAATATGATCTTTGGAGTCAAGAGACCTGACTCTCTGCAACTTTCTAGCCGTGTCACCTTGGCAAGAACACTCATCTTCTCCATGCCCCAGTGTTTGATCCGTAAAATGAGAGTTAACATCATCTCAAAGGTGAAAAGTGAGAGTTAACAACACCTCAAAGGCCTGCGGGGGTAATTAAATGAATGAGAACATGTCAGAGTCTCAAGGCAGCTGGACACAGGGGAGGTACCACAGATGTTCTATGAACCAACTTCTCAAAAGGAACACGGAGCCAGATATGGATTACATATGCCAACACATGTAATCCTAGCAATTCAGGGGGCTGAGGCAGGAGGTTTGCAAGCTCAAGGCCAGCCTCAGTAACTCAGTGAGGCCCTAAGGATTTAGTGAGACCCTGTCTTGAAACATAAAAAAAGAGTTGGGAATGTGGCTCAGTAGTTAAGTGTCCCTGTGTTCAATCCCCAGGTCTCAGCCTTAGAGGTACAGTGCCTTTACTCAAGAATGAATACTGAATGGTGGAAATCTCAGGCAGGGCAGCAGGTGGTAGGGCAAAGCTTAGGGAGGAGACTGCCTATCACCCTGCCCCATGGTCACCAGCTTGCTGCAGGCTCAGGAAGGCCCTGCCCTCTGTGGCAACTCTAAGGAGGCTGGGGCATGTGTCTGGGAATGCAACTTCAGAAGGGGATGTCCCCTTCTTTTCTGTCCCCCAGCGTCACTCCTGAGAAATCAGGAGAACAAAATACTGACTGTTCTCCAAGGACACACTGGTTCTAGCTGCAACAGGCCCAAGAGTGTGGCCCCCATACTGGGAGGAAAGCTCTGGGGAGAAGCCCCTTCCACCCCCTTCCATCATGTCACCCTAGGACTTAGGAGGCTCATCCTCCAGCTGTCCTAAACACCAAGATAGCTGCCCACAGAGAGACCCTCATTGCTCTCTCAGGGCCCAGAGGCCCTCCTTGCCAGGCTGGGATGACCCACTACCCAGAATGCACTGTGTGGCTGAGGGATTAGCAGGAGGACTCAGTGTAGACAGGAGCAAGACTTGGAAGGCTAGATGGTGAGGAGGTTACCTGCAGTTGACGGGAAGCTTTGGCGGGCAGAGGCGGGGGGGAGGAGCGAGGGGAGGCTGCAGTGGGACCAGTCCCCAACCCGGCCATCAGCTCCTGGTACCACTGCTCTAAGTCTACAGCAGGGAGCAGCAGCTTCTCCATCTGAAGGGGCAAGTGGAGGGTGGGGATGAAGAGGAAGGGCCCGGACAGGAGGGGAAAGGTGATGGGAGGAAAAGGGTGCAGGGAGGAGAGGATGGGAGGGAGGATAAAGGAGGGTCAGGAGGGAGAGATGGACAAGGAGGTGAGGGAAGAAAGGAAGGGAGGGAGGGAGGGAGAAAGGAGAGCATAAAGAAAAGGAAAAGAAAAACAGTGAGATGACAGTTGGCTTTAAAAGGGCAAAGAGAAACAGGGGACAGCTCCCAGAGCACAGACCCTCACCTGCCAGCCAGCCAGCCCTCAGGCACTGTGCAAGCACTCCCCTAGGGCCAGCCCAGGGCCAAGGCCGGCAAACAAGGGTGGCACACACACAAACAGCCAGCCAGCCATGGTGGGGCAGCAAGAACACACAGACCACCGACCTTGGGTGAAGGCGTGATGGAAGCGAAGGAGGAGGGCAGCGCGGGAGGAAGGCAGGTGGCGGGAACCAGGTCCCGAGAGGCAGAGGCCCAGGGAGGCAGGCCCGGCGCGGGGGCTGGGGGTGTGGGTGAGGTGCCCCACAGCACCTTTAGCTGCTCAAGCGTCACGTACTTGGGGGAAGGCCAGATGCAGAAGGGAATATAAGAGGTTAATGGGACTGGAACCCAAGAGACGCCCTTCCCACAGGGGAGGGAAAGGGAGGAAGCACAGAGCAGAGTCCAGCTCAGGACGGCCAGAGTCCCTGGGCAGGATGCCTTCCCAGAGCAGAAGGCCCGCTCCTCTTGGGGCCATCAGGAGCTGAGAACAGCTCCCTAGGCTCAAGGGAGAAAGGGAACCAGTCTTGACCCCGCTGTGCCAATGTCCTTCTCCCTCATTGCTGAAGACAGACCCTGCTGTTCCTCCACCCCCACCCAGGCCCAAGGGGAAATGGAGGGCATCCACAAGGAGGCCCTTGGGCACAGATGTACCTCACTGTCAGGCAGGGGCTGTGTGAGCACGCTGGGGGAGGTGGCAGAAGCATAAGGGTCCAAGCGGAAGCACAGCTGGAAAACCTCTGCCAGGCTCACATACTCCTAGGATGCCCGAGGGGGCGAGGGGGGGGGGCAGAAAAAAGGTTAACAGGGTTGAACCAGGTCTCTAGCATCCCACGTTCCATGCCAGGCACAGAGCCATCACTCCATGTCAAAACAGAGCCCAGAGCAGGAGTAGGATGCTCACGTTAGCCACCGAGGGCTTTGAGAGTGAAGAGACTTGGAGAGGCCTGACTACTGAAGGCTCCTCCTGACCTCCACTTTGGGACCAAACTGGCATTTAGTCACTGCCTCCAGAATATCCTAAAGGCCCATCCCTGAGTCCTGGCTAAGGCAGGTGAATAAGCTCAGAGAAGATCTTCCAAAAGCCCACAAGGAGCAGCACCCAGTTCCTAGAAACCCTACCCATCTTAACCGCTGAGCATCCCCAGTGGGGCACACACATGCAGCATCGAACACGGGGAACACTGTTCCCCAGGGCCCCTCACACCCCATTCACCAGGGTAGAATTGGAAAAGAGTGAGTAAGTGGAGACCCCACTAGGGCCTCAGAAGGCAACCTCTGAGAAAGAGCAACTAAAAGCCCTGGCAAGAATATGGGCCCACTGCCTAGGGTAAGTACTTGCAAAGATGTTGGCACACTTGACTGAGTTGGGGGACAAGGACAATCATACTTAGAACTTAGAACCTGAGCTCATCTATGTGCTGGAGGCACAGCAGGCACCCACAATATATGCTGGATCAAAGCATAGATTCCTTGGCCTGCCCTATGCAGGGCACCCACGCAGGATGAGCTCCACAGCCAGACTGTCCTCTGGGATAACTTAAAGGGAAAATGAGCCATAGTGTCCAGTGTATTGTGAAAACTGATGAGTGGCATGCAGAATACATGCAAATTTAATATGCAAATCAATGTTCTCATTTTGCAAAGGCTGATCAGGCACTCTGTGACGACAGAATGGCACACTCACACAAACTCCCACACTCTGCCCAGCGAAAGGATAGTCATCACACACCCTTCAGCTGGGCCCTAGGGAGGAGCTGTAGGCAGGAGCTCAGTGGGCACGCAGACAAGGCAGCGGGCAAAGAAGAGCAGGCAGTTAGCTGCAATTACCTCTTGTGCTTTGGGGCAGAGTGGAGTAGAAGCAGACGGGGTGAAGGAGACAGAGGAGACCCCAGCCTGAGAAGACCCCGGGAATGGGCCCAGAGCCTTGGTCCCCAGCCCCATCTCTGAGGATTCGGAGATGAGCAGCTGAGCCTACAGAGAGGGTACATGGTGAGGGGCTCAGCCCAGTCAGCCCACTCAGGCCTAAACTGCTTGTGCAATGAAAGAGATAGGAAGGCTGGAGAGAGGTCGGGAAACCTATCCTAGGTGTACTTCACACACAGCATGTACAGATGGGGAAAGAACTGCTTGAGGGGCCTCAATGCCCACTTCTGAGATGAAAGCCTGTCTCCAGACTACAGCCTAGGGAACCCCAGCATCAGGACCCCTTGATCCCTACCCTGCCCCTTGAGATAAGTCCACACAGCCCGTACCCCACCAAACCCTCACATACATTCAGCCCCCAAAATGATGAGATTGATGACTCCTGAAAGCAACTAATAGGAAGCAAGTTGGTGGCCACAGAGAGCCAATCCCTCAGGGAACTCCTCAAATCTCTCCATTCAGGAAGATGTCATTGGGGTGAAGGTGGCACATGTTGCTCCAGGCCTCCCAGGACCCCTCCCTTGACCAGAAGCTAGGAGCTGACCCAACAATGTTACCTCTTTGAGGGTCGAGGTGGTCTTCGGGAAAGGCCTGCCCCCCGTGAGTGAGTGGTACCTTCTTTCCAGCACAGTCAGTTTCTCCTTTTCCTGTGAGCCCCAAGTGGCAGAGTCAGAGGAAAGAGGGAGCAAGGGTGATAGAGGGGGTACTCTGTGACCGGGGCTCCATGCTGGCAAAGGTCCACCCCAGCCCTCTGTGCTCCCTGCACTCACCCTACTCCCAAGCCCCACCCAACCCAAGGAGCTACCTTCTGCAGCAGCTGCAGGGATGCATTCTTGTCCCGGGCCAGGCGCTCCGACTCCTGCACAGCCTGGGCCCGGATCTGCCCAGCTTGACTGTCCAGGACGGCCAGGCGCTCCTAAGGAGATGGGGTGATTAGTCAGGCCCTAGGAAGATGGGGCTGAGCCCAAGGTGAGGAATGGCTGACTCTCTCCTGACCAGAGACCCCAGGCTCCAATGAAGGGAATCAACCACCTCTTCACCTTGGCCTTGACTCAACCCAGGAAGACCTGGCTCTCATGGCCAGCTCCATCTCTGCTCCTCCCTCCCTCAACCAGTGACACTGTGCCACCAGGCATTACCACCAGAACCCAGATCCCCAAATCTCCCTTCCCTCACACCATAGCCAATGGGTCCTGAAGCCTAGAGACACTGAATAGCTCCCTGCCTCATGCACCCACAGCCACCACCCAGCTGGGTCCTCTTACCAACCTCCTGCTTCCACTCTCAAATTTCTGATCTATTCTACATTGTCACAAAATGTCTTCCTAAAATGGTCTCTGGCTTTATCTGAGTTTTCTAATCTTTCTAAAAAGAATATATATTACTTGAATTCTTTTTTTTTTTTTAATCCACAACTAAGGTCATACTACCTCTTTCCTCAAAATCTTACAGTGGTTTCTCATTACCCATAGGCTACAGCACAAACTCCTTACCTGGCAACCAGTCCCACCCTTTGCAGTTCCCTGCCTGCTTGGCCCTCTGTACCCCTAGCTCGGCATGCTGTATACCTAGCTCTGCGCCTCTGGACTCAGGCCTTCCTCAGTCCAGGAGGGCTGTCTGGGGTTTGTCCACTCATCCTGAGTCTCCTCATCCTCCCAGAACAAATGCTACCCCACCACAAGCCTTCCTTGATCACCAATTTCTTTGCTCCCTTCTCTGTGCTCATATGATTCCACCTCACTGCCCTTCTTATCCTATTGCTATTTGTGAATACATCTGTCTCCACCACCAGCCCCGGCTAACTATAAGATCCAAGGGCAGGACCAGTGTCTTTTCCATCTCTATAACCCCAACAGGGCTTAGCACAGTGCCTCACTCAACAATCATGTGCTGAAAGGAAATGAAAAGACACTAGTGAGGGGGAAGCATGAGGGCTAGGGACAATGGGCTGGGTTATTCCCAGGAGGGTTTTCTGGAAGAGAAGTTCTTAAAGCATCTTCAGAGCAACACATGGGAGAGGAAGGCATGACTCTCTAACCTGGAGTCAGCCCAAGTCAGTGCTGCAGCAGGCCAGGCAGTCCCTCAGCAGGAGTGCCATTTACCGAAAATCTAGTAGGAGCCAGGAACTCTGCTAAATGTTTTGCATTTGTTACCTCATTTTAATCTTATGAGGCAAGTGTTCTTATGCCCATTTCATAAGTGAAAACAGACATATTTAGGAGCAAACATCGTTTAGTTAGTAAGTGGTATAGCTAGAACCAGATCTGTTGGATTCCAAGGCCAGTACTTTCAACCGCTCTGAACCAGAGTGGACAGAGAAGCACAGAGCTCCAGGGCAGACACAGCCTGGGGTGAGACACTGGGAGCCCAGGATGAAGGTTAGGCAAGGCTCACCAGGAGGAGCATGGGGAAGAATGTGATCCCCGGGCCTCAATGGTTGAGGGCACCCAGAGGCCATGGTGGGCGTGGAGAGGAATGAAGTAGAGCCCACTACCACTGACCCCTCCCAGACTTCCTGAGCTCACATCCACTAGGGCTTCAAAGGCACAAGATCAGTTGATCTAAGGCTCTTTGCTGCACTTCCTCTAGGAGGAAAGAAAAAGAGGCTGAAGAAGTGCCAGCCCTTAGACCCTGTGGGCCACAGTACAAGAAACATGGATTGTGGACCAAGCTGGCCTGGGTTCCAACTCTAACTCTGAAATCCATAGATGGGAGGCTTTGGACAAACTTGGCTTCTGCAGGTCCTAGTTTTCTTGTCTATAAAAAGAGAATAAGAGCACCTGTGAGATGACCTAAGGACAGCAAGGAGGCCTCCTGGTAGGGTCCCTGGCACACACCCATGGGCTTGGGAAATGCCAGTTTTCTTCTTTCCTTGCATCAGCCTTACATTGGAAAGTGGATGCAGCTCTGGGAAGAAAGCATGGACTCTCTGGACTTGGGAGGTCCAGCAGCTCCACTTTTGCCACCAAACCGGCAAGTCCCCCAACTTACCACTTTTGGACACTGTTCCCCAGATCTGCATCCTTACCTTCCACACTCATTTCAGCCAGGCAAACTGCAATGCTTGTATATGGATGCACAAGCTTGAGGCTCAGCCAAGAGCATGTGAACCACCTGGGCTATCTTCTCCATTCCCTCCCCTGCCTCAGCCTAACACACACCTGCCCATCATCCTGTCACCATTTGTGCCTGGTCTGGCTGAGATCAAAAGCAGATTATCAGAGCACTAGTGCAGCAGAACCCACCAGAACACAATACTCAATCCCCTTGATTTATAGCTCAGCCATGTGGAGCCTGAACCAGAAATGGAATCTAGAAGATGCCTATCCTAGGGCCCCAGCGAGCTCTAATATTCAGATCATAGATCTCTATATGTGTCCTAGCATTACAAGGGCAAGGGCAGGACTGGGGATAGTGGTAGAGTATGTGCTTAGCATGCATGAAGGAGGGGCCCTGGGTTCAATGCCCAAAACTAAAATAAATAAATAATGACAGGAGCAAGCCTCTTCCTCTTCATCTTTCTTTTCTTCTTCTTCTTCTTCTTCTTCTTCTTTCTCTTTTTGTTGGGGGGAGGTACTAGGGATTGAGCCCAGGGGCACTCCACCACTGAGCTACATTCCAGCCCTTTCTATTTTTTTTTTATTTTGAGACAGGGTCTCACCAAGTTTCAAAGGCAGGTCTTGGATTTTTGATCCTCCTGCCTCGGCCTGGCCTCTAAGTGGCTGGGATTACAGGCTTGGGCCACCATCTTTTACTTCTCTGACCAATCAGTGCCCAACTCTCAAGGTGAGCCCACTCCACTTTCTACTGGAAGACTGAGGGGAGTCAGAGCTTAATTTTAGCCATCCTTTGTTGAGCACTTTCTACCATCATGTCCTGTTCTGCCTCTACATTCTAATTCTCATAGAATCTTGTTATACTTCTAATACTACAGACAGGGAAATGAGGCCTCAAAAGTGAAGTTAACTCTCATTACATCACCAACTTCGATTTTAACGCAGGTTACTGGCCTCCAGCCCCCTTCCCCACGGGCCGCCCTTAGCAGGAGTGGACGGGACACACCTTCCTCTGGGCGACACTGCGCAGCAGCTCGGCCTTGCTCCGCAGCAGCCCCTGGCCCGCCAACTCGCGCTCCTCCTCCACGCGGCTCTCGCGCTCCAGCTGCTGGAACTCCAAGTCTTCAAAGAGCTTTGTCTCCGTCTCCAGGGCCTCTGCCTCCTTCAACGACAGCGACATCGGGAATTGGGTGGTGCTCACAACGCCACTCTGGGCCAGGAAGGCCAGGCCACAGAGGTGTGGGTTTGGGGGGCTGCACCCGGGAAAACTGGGGAAGGCACCTGCCCCCACCCAACTCCCTCTGCTCTTGTTCGGCTGTGCGCCTTTAGCGGGCATCACAGCCTGGAGCTCTGATCCCCCCAACCTTGCCGGTCCCCTCCAAGCCACAGCACAGACCCTGGTGTCCGGCAGGTACTGCAGGGGCCAGACGGTCCCGTCCCACTGCTCTCCTCTCTTCTGTCTGGGCGGTGGCCCGCGGGGGCCGGGGGAGGGGGCTGGTGGAACTGACCCTTCTCAGCTGCTCCTGTAACTGTTCCCGCACTGACTCGGGGCAGTTATCGAGCTGCGTCTGGAGCTCGGCGTAGAGCGCCTGGCGGGCCTCCAGGTGCCTCCGTCCCGCGGCCAGCTCCGCCCTCTCCTGGTCGGCGGGAGGGGAGGGAGGCGGGGCACAGGGGAGAGAGAACACACACTCCTCAACTCCGGCCCGGCGGGGGAGGGGCGCGGGCGCAGCGCGAGACCGCGGGCGGGGCAAGAAATCAAAGAGAAGGAAGAAGAGGGCAGAAAGGGAAAGTGAACAGGGTGGAGGTAGAGGGAGACAGGCCAGAAGCAAAGGTGTAAAACAGGGCTCAGTGGCGCAGGGGACAGTGTAAGACAGGCACAGGTGTAGGGCAGGGTGGAAATTTTGGTCCCTTGGAGTTCCTTGAACTAGGAATGTCTGGGTAGGTATTAAGGTAGGTAAGGCCTTCTGTTGCCTCTCCAAACCAGTCAAGGTCAAAGTTGATTCTACCTGGTGAAGCAGAGCCTCAAGCTTCAAGCGCTGCCCAGAGACCAAAATTTAACCCAGGGAGAAAGAGGAGTGATGAGTTAAATCCAGGGGCTGGGGAGGATGTTAGAGCTACAGCAATGCAGCAAGGGGACCCCAGCCCAACACCCTGGCTGCCCTGCAGAGCTGGGTGGGGTGCCAGCTCTGCAGGCTGAATTTCAGCAGGGATGAGGGTTACAATTAGTTCGGCCGTTGCCATGGTAATAGGAGCCCCAGGAGTGAGTACAGAGAGGAGGTGGATGGCTCTGTCTGGGCGAGATGACACTCTGAGGGCGGCAAGGGGGACGAGGGGAGGAGTTGGTGAGTCACCCCTCTAAAGGACAGGCAAAGGAGAAACTGTGATTACTGATACCAAAGCCAAAGTGGGGCCATGGGCTGAGGGCTGTAAAGGGAAAACAAATGAACCTTTTCCACCACCACCATCACTACCACCATCACCAACAGCACCTTCACTGCCACAACCTCAAACAGCTGGGCCCAGAGAGAAGGCAAAGCCCAGGCCTCCAAGCAATCTCAAGTCAATGAGAAGTGAGGACAGGCAGGTTCCTCATGAAATGTTGAGCTTCATCCCTGAGAGTAAGCCCCTACACTGCACTCCACCACTCACCCCGCCTCTTCCCTCCACACCACCCACCCGCCTACCCATCTCCAAAAGAAGGCCCTGATCAGAAGCTCCTGGGGTCCAGGCACTTCCACATTCTTGGACCCTGCCTTTAAAATAACCTGTGTTCTAGATGGCCTCTAGGGGGGTGGGGGAAGGATGGGAGAGGCTACCCCTTCTTCTGATTGGGGTATGTGGATTTGGGAAAACTAGGTGGGGAGCCACTGAGTTGACACAGAGGTCCTGTCCAATCCCTCCAAGGCCATGCCCACAACTGGACCTCCTTACCCCTCATCTCCAGAGGGCAGGTGGTTGAAGGAGTACAGCCTGCCTCCCCCTGCTCTGCAGGAAGCTGCTAACTGTCCAGTGGGAGGGGCTGTTCAGGCTGAGCAGTTCTTGAGCCAACCATCCCCCCCACCACCACCACCTTTAATAGCCCTTCTGCCAATGCCCCATAGAGAAAAGTTTAGCTGCTGTGCCCTCCTGCGACTTCCTTTCTGATCAAAACCATAAGATCCCACATCAAGAAAAGAAGGAGACAATATTAGAAGGGAGAGGTCAGGACACGAGGCACCTGTGGAGTTAGTGCACAAGCAGGCGTGGCTCAGCCCTGCCTGGGTGGCCTGGCAGTTAGGGGCATGCGGAGAGCCCAGGACAGTGATTAGACAGGGCGTTAGTGCAGGCCTGGTTGACAAGCATGGAGTTAATTTGGCACAGAATTTGGGAGTGTGGTTTTGGGGGCCAGAGCCAAAGCTCAAAAAAAAAAAAAAGAATTTTTAAGACTTTCAAAATTGAGGGCAAGAGGAAGATACTCTCAAAAAATCCAAAGGGAAAATTTAATTCTTGGAAAAATACTGTCAAATCCAGAAATAGATGACCCCTCTCCACTTCAGAGCTTTTGGCACGTTGTTGGGCATCTTGGACATGCTGGAATGGCCCCTGTGGGATGGAGCGGCCCCTGCAGGCTGGCACGAAATCTGAAAGGGGCAGGGGCAGGAGCTGGGACCATCTGAGATGGGAGGGTGCGGATTCTGAAGACTTGGGAAGCAGAGGCCTGTGGACCATCTCCCAAAGACCACAACCTAAGCATCTGAGGCATGCTGGAGGAAAGTGTCCTCCAGATGGCGGGACCCAAACTTGAATCACCTCCCAGCACAAGTCCCTCCAGCTGTACTCACTGCCCAAGAAGGGGCCCTGGCACTTCCTAAAAGGGCCATGAAGGGCCCAGAATGGCAGGAACCCAGGCACCCAGAGGTAGCACAGAGACCCAGACAGAGAAGACCACAAACACCAGCCCAGCCCCAGGCAGCATCCTTCAAGCTGGTACCTTCCAGAGAGGACTAGGCCCCTGGCCCTCGGGGACCACAGAAACCACCTGGTACGCAGGGTGGATCATAAGGTGAGGGGTTCAGGGCCCCAGGGAAGGCATTTCTCCTTCTCTCCTGGGTCACTGGTTCCTAGCACCAAGCTGGACCAGGTGTGGATTACCTTGTCTCTCTCCTTCTGGATGCCAGTCTCCAAGGCCACCAGCTTCTCCTGTAGTTGGTCCACTGCCTTTTGCTCCTTCTGCAGCAGTGCCCGCTCTGCTTCCCTCTCCCCCTGCAGCAGCGCCCTCTCCATTTCGGCCTGGAGGTAGATACCAAGATCCCTATTAAAACAGTGAACTCGGGCCCCTATTAGAGGCCTGTACCCTACCAGCCAGCTCACCTCTCTGGCCGCTTCTTGTAGCTGCTGCTCTAGTTCCTTCACGTGGACCTTGAGCTGCTCCACACGCCCCAACACCTGAGCCCGCTCCTCTTCTAGGGCTAGCAGCTCTCCTTGGAGCTTGGTGCTAGGTGCATCTTCATGCTGGAGGGGAGGGCAGCAATCAGCCAAGGATGCCGAGTGCCTTCCAAGATAACAGATTAAGAGACCAAACCACATATTCTTCAGGGCACTTAGAAAGAGTGGTTGAACTGAGACAGGAGGCTACCCGCCTGCCTGCCAGGGAAGCCATAAAAGCTCAGCCTCAGGGAATAAAGATTTACCAGAGTGCCAGGCCTGGGTGGGGCCCCAAGGAAAGGCAGGTGAAAAGCCTATTAATAACTCGGGAAAGTCAACACCACCTCTATTCTTTTCCTCGCCTCCTCATTTCTACACCTCTGATCTCTGGTCTCTTCCCAAACAATGCTTTCATTACTTCCCTCCCACTGGGTCCTGGTATTCACCACACCAGCCTCCCTCTAGTACCCTGGCCCTGCCCCTCATCCAATCCAGTCCCTCAGCCCACCCCACCTCCTGCTGGGTGCTCTCTGTGCTACTGCACTCCTCCTTGAGATTTTCTTCATCTGAGCGCTCCACGCTCTCCCACAGGCGTTGGGCAGCACTTCCGGGCTCCTCGCTGCTCCGTCCAGAGGCCACAATGGCCCCGGCAAAGCCTCGTGAGGGCCTCCGACCTGCCAGTGCCAAAGCTGCAGTGGCCTCCCCAATGCTGGGCAGCTCCCCGGCCTCTGGTCCCCCATCAGCCCGGCTGTACTCAGCACACAGGTTCAGGATGGTCTCCAAGCGCTGGCGCTCCTGGGAAGGGTAGACAGAACAGGGCATGAGGGAGAGGCCGAGCCCTGCGGGGAGGGAGAGCTGGAACACTAAATGCATGGGGCCCAGCGTCAAGTCAGGAGAGCACCAGCCCCAAGAACTGTGGGAGACCAAGGCAAGGTGAGTGCCCCAGAAGTGGACATAAGGAACCAGCCTGTGTGCCACCTGTCCATGTGGCCGGCCCCTCCTATCTTCCTGTTTCCTCTCCCTTCTCATTCTGTCCCAGGATGGGGCTTCCACGTGGTCACAAGGACACACCTGAACACACACAGAGACATATGGGTAGTCAGACTGAAGACCACAATGAGATACATGTCAACTCAGGTGCTCACGCTGACACAGGGACACACAGATCTTACGCACAAGGGCACAATGACACACAGATATGCACACAGGCAGGTGCAGATGCAACGTGTGCACTAGCCCTACTTTAACAGGTAGATACACAGACACCAGCCCTGACATGCACAAATACATACTCACACAGATAAACACAGTCCACATACAGCTGGGTGGGCACCAGCAGACAGACAGGCTGGGAAGCAGACCCAGGGGCCCACAGGACCTGACACTCAGCCCAGACACACATGAAAAAGAGGTATAGCTGAGACCCAGTACTCCCTGTCCCCATCCCAGCTCCAAGCCACCCTCAGATTCCTTACCAGCAGGGAGGGCTGCTGCTAGCTGTTGAATGTGCAGACCCAGATACAAGTGCTCTGTGGCCCTGACACTTACAGCCTTCCCTACACACATCAAGAAGCAGTCACCTCTCAGAAGATGGAGATGTGAGGACAAATAGTGCAACCATGCTCCTGATCAGCGTCCCAGTCTCCATTCACAATACTCCAGCTCTGTATCCTGGTCCTGAGCCTCCCATGGCCCTCTGGGGTCTGTTAACCTCTTCAAAGGTTTCTGACTACATACAGTTCAGCCATGACTCCTCACCCCTCAACACTTACCCGGTTTTCCTCCTGCTGCTTGCCCGGTTCCATGGCAAAAAATGCAGGAACAGAATCCCAGCACCCAGAAGGCTGGGCCCATGCCCTGCCCCCGCCCTAGGACCCAGATAAGCAGCCTGGTTGGGGTGGGAGGGGCAGGGCGAGCAGCCTCCAAGACTTAAAGTGGCAGGTGGGGCAGGTCAGGGCTGGTGGTAAGGTGTGCCTGTGTGACGGGATGGGGGTGGGGAGGCTCAGTGGAAGAGTTGAGGCACTCTGCCTGTGTCTGGGGCCAAGCTCACTGCCCCTCGAAGGAAGAGATCCCAGGGTGGCCAAGCACTGTGGTGTAGGCCAAGGCCAAACAGTGACTGAAGATGTAGCAATGGGAAAGACCGGGAGCCCACTTCCCACCCAGCAGAAGCACACTGTCGCATACCCTCACCCCAAACTGTCCAGCTTCTTCCCGAAGGGTCTCCAGTTCCAGTTCCTCTCCTTAAACCAATCCCACAGTTCCTGGGCCCTCAGGAACCCCATGCTTCCACTCTCAAGGGAAAGTGAGCAGAATCCATTTTCCTGTGTGTGGGCTCAAGTATGTATACATTGGCCAGAGCCTCTGGAGCTCCTTGCACTATCTGGAGAATCCCCGGCCCCAACCCAGCTCAGATGCCAACTCCAGCACAGCTGCCCAGAGCCACACCCAGCCCTGCATGCACCCACATGCACACATGCAGATGCATAGGTCACAATCACACATGCCAGCCAGGGGCTGCCCACCCTGTTCTTTCCCTATTCCCTGCTACCATACTCCCAGTTATCCTGCTGGGGCTGAGATGAGCAGCTGCCTTCCATTTGTAGAGGTCAAAAAGAAGCAAGAAAGAAGGACCAGGAGCTTTTCTAAAGAACAAGCCTCAATGCCGGAAGAGTTGGGGAACTCTGCCTGTGTCTGGGGCCAAGCTCACTGCCCCTCAAAGGAAGAGATCCCAGGGTGGCCAAGCACTGTGGTGTATGCCTATAATCGCAGAAGCTCAGAGGATGAGGCAAGAGATCACAAGTTCAAAGTCAGCCTCAGCAATTTAGCGACTTAATGAGATCCTGTCTCAAAATACAACAAATAAAGGGCTGGGGATGTGGCTCAGTGGTTAAGCACCTCTGGGTTCAATCCCCAGTACCAAAAAAAGAACAAGCCTCAAGCTGGACATTGTGGCGCACACCTGTAATCTCAGCTACTGGGGAGGCTGAGATGGGGGATCACAAGTTCAAGGTCAGCCTGGTTAACTTAACAAGACCCTCTCTCAAAACAAAATAAATAAATAAATAAAAAGGGATGGGGCAGGCAGTAGTGGAGTGTCCAAGAGTTCAATCCCCAGTACCAAAACGGGGGAAAAAAGCCCGAGACAGAGATGGAAAGACAGCAGATTTGGGTTCCAATTCCAACTTTGCCAAAACTTGATGTATTACTTCAGAAAATCCAATTCCCTCTCTGGGCCTCAGCCTTTTCATCCCCACAACCTGCTTCTCAAACTGAGAGATACAAGGCCTCACCATAACTAAAACTAAAAAATAAATATTAAAAAAAAAAAGTGGTATGCTTTCCTAGAGATTCATTGTACTCGAGTAAATAATTAAAACTTAGTTTATACATTAAAACAAATGCTCTGTTGTAGAATATATGCAAAATTAGCAAGAATTTAAAATAAAGCCTTAGAGGTTTCAAAGTTACTCTTCAGGGCACCAGAACTATGAGATACTAGTCATTAAGGCGTATCCTGAAGTTGGGGATGCATAAGCCCAGGCCCTATCCAAGGGCCCCCTTGCTCTGCCAGCTGGCCTGCCCACGCCCTGGCAGAGACCCTGCCTTGGATGGTGGCAGTCTCCCTGGCATCTGCTCACCAGCCTCTCCATCTCCTGCTCCCGGAGCCGCTCTTGGCGCTGCCGCCGGTGGTACTCCAGGAGGTCATCTTCATTGTCACTGATCTCTGTGATGCTATTTTTCCTTTCCCTAATGACAGGTACCCGCAAGTCCCCACTGGAGAGCTTCCTCTGGGCATGAGGGCTCTGGCGTGGCGAAGCCCCAGTAAGAGAACCCAGACTATAGGCTGGGCTCAGCCTGCCACTGAAGCTGCCCTTGCGAGGTGCCAAGGACTCCCCCAGGGTAGGTGAGGGACTCCGTGTTCTGCGGCCTCGTGTCCCCAAAGTCAGGGAGAAGTCCTCCGGTGAAGCTCCATGGGCTGCCCACCGCCGGGGCCGTGGACTGTCTGCTACCTCCCTGGTGAGCTTGGGATCTGGGGTGGTCCGAGCAGGCAGTGGGGAGAGAGCTCGTCGGGACAGAGACGGGCTCAAGGGAGGGAGTTCTCGCATACTGTCCAGGCCCCGCCGACCCAGGCGGGGACTCTCAGGAGGCTGCAGGGTGCGGGTGGCTGACCCATCTGAAAATGTTCGGCCCACCAGTTGGCGAGAGGGACTCGTTGTCAATACCCTCTCCGTGCCGGGAGGGTCACGGAAAGGGCTTGGAGGGCGGTCCTGGAGTGTGCTAATCTTGTTGCGAGGAGCAGGAACTGGAGACTGGAACTTGGGGCTGCCAGGAATGCTGGTGGGTTGGCTGCGGGCACCGGCAGCTGGGTATTCACTCAGGCTGATAGCTACCACAGGCAGCTGCCCTCCCAGTCGGGGGCTCTCAGTGGCTTTGCGGGCTTCTGCCAAGACCGTGGCTGAAGGGCTATCAGTCAATAGCCCCCGGAGGCCAGGGCTGGGAGGCCTCTCATGACCTCCTTTTCTACCCAGCCGGGGACTCTCAGAGGAGCGGGCACCACTTGGGCGGGACTGTGGGGGCTGCAGGGCCAAATGGTAGCTGGATGAGCGAGCAGGCACCAGCGGGGGTACAGAAGACAGTCCTGGCTCCTGCCCACTGGGTGAATGGCTGGCACAGCTCCCACTGCTGGCTGGTGAAGAGAGTGGAGAGAAGGCTGGAGAGGTGTTCTCATAGCTGGAGCCCACAGACATGGCCCCAGGACTGGTTGGAGGGGACAGCAGGTAGCGGCCACCATTAGCCATTGGCGACAATGGGGAGGTTGCAGCAGGCTTCTTGCCAGCAGCTCCAGGTTCCTCTAGCACCAGTGAGTCCATGATTTCCTGCAGGTCCTTCTCAATGGAGCTCACTAAAGAACTGTGGCTGGCACAAGCTGGGGGTCCCCGGGTCGCAGGCTGTGGGGTGTGGTTCCCATTCACCAGACTTTCTGATTCAGCTGAGGGAAAATGCAAAGAGGTCTCAGGCTCTGGCCTTGGGCTTTGGAAGCTACATATGCACAAGAGCAAGGACACCACCCCACCTCTTCCTAGCACAGATCTGAAGAAGCCAGGATATCTGGGTTCTTCACCAGGTGCTGGCACCAGCCAGCTCTGCCACTGCTGTGCTCTGTATCCTTAGCCAAGTTACTTGCCCTCAGTGTCTCCTTTTGTAAAGGAAGAAGATGGGCAGGACCCTCCTGGCTCTAACATTTTATGACATAGGACAAAGTTAACAAAATGCCAGGATACATCTAAGCCTAGTTTTTGCCAACTTGCCCCTGGACTAGACTCCTTCCTGTCTTGGTTTTCTCATCGTCCTTACATCTCTCTTCAGGAAGGGTAAGGGGGCATTCTGCATAGGAGATGGGACCTACTGTGGAGTGGGCCAGAAGTTCCAGGGCCTCCTACTCTAATAGGACATCATTTCCTCCCAACACAGCAGCCAGAGACCCGGAGAAAAAAACAAAGCCTCAGGGCTGGGCAAGGGTTGTGCGCTGGAGCCCTATGTCCAATCAGAGGCAGGGGAGGGATTCAGTGCTAATGGCTGGTTCCTGGAAGCCCCGCTGGCCAGCCACGAGGTGCAGCTCAATGCCTCCAATTATCCCATTAAGCCACGCCAGCAAGAGCCTGCCTTTGCCTGGCCCCTTGTCAACCAACCAGGGGACTGCAGTCCCTGGAACCATTGCCTCAAACAGCTCTGAGAAGTGGCATAACAAGGCTGGGGTGGAGGCAGGGTAAAATTAACCAGGGAGTGGACTAGGAATCTAGGCTTCTGTGCTCCCAGGGAACTAGAAGAGACTGGGGTTGAGAAAGAGGAGAAGGGAACTCCTATGCAAGACAGAGCATGGGTCCAAAATTCTGGGACTGTGTGCAACTCAGTCAGATGGGGTTGTCATGGATAGTGTTGATCCCAATGACCACTCAACTTTCTTCAAGTTCCCGGACTATACATTTAGGTCGCTGATAACTACTCCACCAGATGTCCCAGACACATGTGTCCATCTGCCCCATAGCTACATTGGCACCTATAGCCCTGCAGCCATTGAATGCCACTGCAAAGTCTAGAGGGGCAGACTCACTGCCCCCCACCCCTAGGCAGCTGGCTGAGGAGGCCTGTGTTGGTTCCTAGAACAATCACCAATTCTCCTCTGGGGATCAATAATTCACACACAAACTGCAGCTGCTCCTCTGAGTCATCCTCGAGCATGGCAAGGCCTGAGGGTTGGGTAGGGCCCAAGAACATGATCACCAGCAGGTGGGCCCCACCAGGGCTTACTGGGGGTTCAACCTAATGCTCAGGCCATTCTTGAGGGTGAGGTTCCTGGTGGTATCACAAGAAGGCAGGGTCCCAGACACTGAGTGGCCTCTTCTAGGTCAGTAGGATAAAGACAGGCAGACCCCTCTATCCCTCAAGGTACATCAATTCCCAATTTCAGCCAAGCAGCACTGCCTCGGCTCTCTCCCAGTAGCCCCTCTGCCTGGCCTTCTCCAGCAGACTATGGTAGGTGGCAGCGAGACCAGACCCAGTATATTGTCCCACCCTAACACTGTAAGAATGGCTGAAGTGGGCGAGAAGAGGTCAAAGGGGTACCACCAACCCAGCATCTCCCTGCCCCAGGCTAGACACCTACCAGAGCCAGGGTTGTAGGGGGGCCCAGGAGCCCGGCCCCCTGCTGGAATCATGCTCTTCATCCACTTGGCTTCAGCAGGGTGGTTAAAGCGGAGGAAGGTGGACTGACCCAGGCACAACATGCAGCCTGCAGAGAAAGCAAATGCTTGCAAGGGACAAGCAGGGACAACCCGCAGCACTAGTAGGTTCACCCCCAGCTCCAAAAAGCAGTTCCCACCTATACTTACAGTGTCCCCACAATGCACACCTGACCCTGCCTGTCTCTGAGCTGGGCCCGTGTGGGGCTCCACAGCACAGAGCAGAGTAGAAAGAACACTGGCAGGCAAGTCCCCAAACTACATCCTCCTAATTCCTCTTCTCACTACCGCCTGTGGGATCTTTCAGTGAAGTTACTTCACCTCCAACTCTAGTTCTCTCCTCAGAAAAATGGGACCATACCACTGAGCTTACTGGGCTAAAAAGACCATGTGTGAAAAATACCATCAGTGGAGAAAGTTCTTCAGAGAACATGAACACCACATCCTCCTACCCCCAACCTAGATTCATGATACATCCAATCATCTTCTGAATAGAAGGGTTAGTCTGTTTTTTACTGTTTTTCCAGTACTAGGGATTGAACCCAGGGTGCCTTACCACTAAGCTACATCCCCACATCTCCAGCAGTTTGGTTTTCTTTTCTTTTCTTTTTTTTTTTTCTTTTTTGCAGTGCTGGGTATTGAACCCAGGCCTTCATGCATGCTAGGCAAGAACTCGATCCCTGAGCCACATCCCCAGCCCTCCAGCCCTTTTATTTTTAATTTCATGAAAGAGTCTCACTAAATTGCCCAGGCTGGCCTTGATCCTTCTGCCTCAGCCTCCCAAATCACTGGGATTACAGGTATGCGTCACCATGCCCAGCTAGAAGGGTTAGTTTAAAAGGCAGCAACTACCAGAGTCACAAATAAAACTCTGATATAGTGGACAAGGGAAAAGCCATGGTTTGGTCAGATTCCTTCTTGCTGTGTGGCCTCAGGAGAACTGGCACCCTCTCTGAGAATCTAAGGAGTAACCTCCACCCTGTTTCTTTTTTCTTTATTTTCAGCACTGGGATTAAACCCAGGGATGCTTTACACTGAGTCACATCCTCAGCCCCTTTTTTATTTTTTATTTTGAGACAGGGTCTCACTAAGTTGCTTAGGGCCTTACTAAGTTGCTGAGGATAGTCTTGAACTTGTGATCCTCCTTCCTCAGCCTCCTGAGTCACTGGGATTACAGAGGTGCCCCACTGTGCCTGGCCACCCTGTTTCTTGCTTTTTTTTTTTTTTTTTAACCCTGTTTCTTTTTGACATGGCATCCTCTGGCTATTCCTCTAGTCTCACCTGGAATCTAGTCAGACCCAGACCACTGGGCTCAGTAAAGCCCATTCCCAGGCGGTAGACACAAGCCTAGTCCTGCCCAGGAAGTGTGAGTGCATAGAAGGGGGAGGTTATTATGTGGGAGCCAGAAAATGTAGCCAGGGGCTCAGGAGTGTGCACAGTGGCAGGTGTCCCCTCAGGCGCCTAAGCCTGGCTGGCAGAATTCCACCTCCTTGCCATACCAGGTGCTAAAGGACTCCTACAGAAGATGCTATGCTAGGAGAGGCCAGAGCCCCTGCTCTCTACCACCCACCATTCCATTTGTCCACACCCCTGGTCTCAGCCTCCTGTCTACCCAATCCAATGCCACTTGGCACCCCAAACTTCATGCCAGTCTGAGCTAAGACTGGCAGGGAAGTCTACATTCCTGGACGCTGAGACAGTGCAGCTCAGGGAGGCAGCAAGGGCAAAGGGCATCCCAGGCCACGTGGGTACTTTGGCAGGCCCCCTACTGAGAAGCTCAGGAGTCCATTCTTAAGACCCCTGGCATTGCCATGGGGCAGAGGACTAGCAGGATAAGAAGCCCATATCAGACAAAGCTGCTCACTCCCTTGGCACACCCAAAGGCCCGCCCAGGGTGATGGGTGGTTAGGAAAGGGGATTGCCTTCTCTGCCAAGTCACCAATCAGAGAAGCTGATCCAGAGTAATCATAACTGAAATAAATGCCAGTCAACCACACCGTCCACCTAATTACAACCACAGCTGTTTCAGGAACGGCCCTGCCTGGCCCCTCTCCTTCCTTTCAGCCATTTAACAAACTAATTAATGATGAGTTTGCAGGGTCTAGACAGACCCACTCAACTCGAGGTTGATGGAGGGAGAGGGATAGCGGTTAGGAAGAGCCTGAACACACAGTCCAAACTGGGAAGGAGGGGGTGTCTGGGTGGATCCCATCCCAGCAGTGCCAGGCCCACCCAAGAAGGCTGTGGGTATCTATGGACCCTCTTACCCTAGCCCCTATAGGACTGGAGGCACCTGCCCCTCCCCCTACCCCACGCGGGGGTGTGGCCTCGCTCCCTCTGGGCTATAAATAGTGATGCCAGGCAGCAGAGCTAGAGCTGTATTAATAGAGCGGGCAGGAGGGCAGCAGGACTGAGAGCAGCCCAGCTCCTGCCCAAATTAACTTTCTATTTGCACTCAGGGGCCTCAGGCATAGCCCCAACTCTGGCACTATCGCCCCCAGGGGCCTGGCCAGTGGGTATCTGGGAAGAAGTGGCCTCTCTGTCCACTCCTGCTCCACACCCACAAGGCTAGCCCTGTCTAGAAGCCCAGGAACCCAACCAAAGTCATGGTCCCTGACCCCCATGCACAGAGCACCTAAGGTCCAGCTGCTTCAGGTGGGTAGAGAATCTGCACATCTGGAGGGAAAACACTGGGCAAAGGAGAGGGTGGATCCTGCCTCGGAGAGCTGCACAGGGGAAACACCACACACCGACACACTCATAGGAACACACACAGAATCATAGGCAGCCATGCTCACTCGCACACACAGAGCGACACTCACTGCCCTGCTGGTCACACATAGAATGGACTGGCCAAAGGGAGGGTGGATGAAGGGAGAATAGGAACAAGAGCCTTGGTTTTTCCCATCAGAGACCCCTCTCGGCCATGACAAGGCTCCCCTCATCCTAACCGTGATCCCTCGACCCCTTGGGAGGCGGATCCCAGGAGGGGACTGCCCAGCGCTAGGAGAGATGAGGTCTGCACAGCTGAGAAGTGGCCCCAAGCCCAGAACCCCACTCAGAAATGTTCAGGGACTCACAACCTTGGAGTCTCACAGCCTCAAGCTCCCAGAGGTCGAGCACCCCATCCCCCTCCTCCTTGCACCCACCCTCCCAGGACGCCCCAGCCGCCAGGGGCTGTGGCTGACCGGGCTGAGCACTCACCGCTGGACCCGGACCTCCGGACGGTTGGCCCCGGCCAGCGCGGGCCCTGCAGGTCCCCGGCCCGCCCGGGGCCTTTGAGGGGGCGGGCCGACCTCCCGCGCCGCCGGCTCCAGGCTCCGAGCGAGCAGCCAGGCAGCGAGCAGCCGCCAATGCCCAGGGAGGGGCGGGCCGGCCACCAGCGGCGGGGGAAGGGAGCCAGGGAGGGAGGGACAAAGGCGAGGAGGAGGGGAAGAGGAAGTGATGGAGGAGACGAGTGTGGAGCTGGATGGAGAGGCGGGGCGGGGCGGGAGGATGCAGACCGGCAGCAAGCTGGGGATCCCGCGCCAGGGACAGGAGGAAAAGTGGGGCGGAGAGGGAGGAGAGGTTCGAGAGAGGTAACTCCTGAAGGAAAAGTGAGAGGTAAATATAGAGGCCAGAGGTTGAAGAGCCAGGAAGCTGGAGTGAGGCCAAGTGCAGGTTTCGCCCAGGACTCTCTGGGGTAAGTCTGTGGCGGAGGTCTGGGGTTCAGGCCAGTGTCACCTTGGGCCAGTCACACCCTCTGGCCTGGGATGACTTATCTAGAGAATGAGGAGGATGTCCTTAGTGACCATAGAGGACATTCTGTGGTTCTACTGAGGAAGAGTAGAAGAGTGGGGGCCCAGTGGGTTCCAGGTAGGTCACTAGGTTCAGCTCTGGACCTCAGTCTCTACTGTGACAAGGTCACCCAAGCTGGGGACTCAGGTCAAGCAGTGCTCTGTGCAATACAGGCAGCACAGTCCAGATCCTGTCTCCATCCTAAATATCTACTCTTCCAGTCCCTACTCCCCAGAGCTCACCCCCATTGACCCAGGCTGGACCAAAGCATTGCCCCTTCCAAACCAGCCCACTTCCTGGGGCACCCAAGTGCCCTCTCCCCCAATAAAATACCCTTTCTATCTGGAAAACAGTGCCATCTGTCTCTGGTGCCTCCAGGGACAGGCTGAAGATTCTGAGCCAGGCTGGTACCTACCACCCAACTGGAGCCCCAGAGAGTTGCTCTTGTCCCAAGGAACTGACCCTGGACACTAGAATCTTAGGGGACACACCACATTCACCCTGGGACACAATACATGTTAGGCAGCTCACACATCCCCACACCAACTCTCAAAGACATACCAACACTGTTCAGTCACATTGACACCACATCAACTGGGCACAGGGTCTCACAAACACTCCATTCCACACAGACCACTCTTATGTCTCACACACATTTATTCTCATGCACACATTCTCCCAGGCCCCACTCCCTGTCTTAGTTTCACTCTTACTCGGGAACAGCTATCCTTTTGCTCAGACCCTGGAGAGACTCTTAAATAAAGTTAATCTCCAGTGGTGCTTGCCTGTGATCCTACCTACTCGGGAAGCTGAGCAGGAGGATCTCAAGTTTAAGGCCAGTCTGGGCAACATAGTGAGACCCCCATTTCAAAACAAAATAAATAAATAAATGTAGCCAGTCGTGGTGGTGTACACCTGTAACCCCAGCAACTCAGGAGGCTGAGGCAGGAGGATCACAAGTTCAAGGCAGCCTCAGCTTAGAGAGATCCTGTCTCAAAATAAATATATGTATGTGTGTGTGTGTGTGTGTATATATATATATATATATATATATATATATATATATATATATCACTGTAGCTCACTGGTAAAGTGCCCCTGGGTTCACTCTCCACACTCGTCTCCTCCATCACTTCCTCTTCCCCTCCTCCTCGCCTTAGAATATAAAAAAGTGTGTGTATGGGCTGGGGCTGTAGCTCAGGGGCAGAGCACTTGCCTAACATATGTGAGGCACTGGGTTCAATCCTCAGCGCCACATAAAAATAAACAAATAAAATACAAGCATTCTGTCCATCTACAATTACAAAATTTTTTAAAAAATAATAAAGTATGTGTATATACACACATACCAGCCTCCTTAGAGAAATAATGAGGGAAATTTTCCACCCTTGCTGAATAGCCGATCACCACACGCAGTCACTGCCATGTTACACACACACACACACACACACACATATGAAACTTATTCCCCTTCTGAGGGAAAAAGGAAAAACCATATAGGGTCAAATGCAAACTGAGGGGAGGTTTTAGAAAACAAAACCTCCTCAAGGAAGAGTGATTCATAGATCTGGAAACTGTGATGGCCAGCTGGACAGACCCAGGCAGGCAGAGGATGCCCGCCAGTGAGAACCAGGGCAGGAGACAGACACAAGGAAGTGGGAAAGCTCCGAGGCGTCACTTGGCCTCTCCTTTCTTTGAACCATATTAGTCAAGATCTTCATCAATCTCCTATCAGAAAGCTTGGAGTCTTCCCTCCCAATTTACAGAAGGAATAATTGATAACTGGGTGGGAGAAGAAGAGGCCCAATGTCCTGGACTCCAGAGAGCACACTCCTCTGCTGGCCCCACACAAGCCCCTACCCACCAATGTGGGGTTTTGAAAGTAAAGGACGCTTGGAGGCAAAGACTGGCAGTGTGCATCAGGAGCAGAAGGGGACCTCCTGTCTAGACAGCCAGCGAGCCAGCGCCCTGAGCTGTGTGGCTTTCTGGACCCTCCCCTTCCTAGTCCCCTCCCTGATCTTTCATGTGGTCTGGCTCTGTGATCCCAGGGTGGGGCAGCCTAGACCCAGATTGAGATTCTGCCTTATTTCCTTGGTCCTATTCCCAGCTCCACCTCTTGCTCTGTAGAGGAGAGGGCAGCATGGGATGTGCCAAGATGCTCCCGTACTGGGAGGAATCAAGGTCCCCCTGGGTCCCTCACTTCATGCTCCCATGTTCATAGCTCTAGGATAAAGGTTGGCATCTGCTCTCTGCCCGCCTCCCCCCTCCCCTGGCCCAAGCATACTCCTGCTGGAAGAGCCTGTCACTGCCATCTCTGCCTGTCATGAAGTGTGTCTCTCCAAGTTGCCCATGGCTGGGCACAGTGCCCAGAATGATGTTTCTAAGGCCTGGCCCAGCCAGAGCAGACTCCTTGTTATTCCCAAGACCCCCTCTGTTTTTTAAAGAGGAGGGTCCACTCTATAAGGCCATATAAGAGAAATAAGACAGGGAAAATCCCCCCTCCCCGCCACCCAGTGCTAAGGATGGAATCCAGGGCTTCACACATGCTGAGCAAAGGCTCCAAAACTGAGCCACAAAACCCAGCCCTAAATAGTCCTCACAAGCATCTGCCCACCCGAAGGCATATGGCCAGTGAGTTCTCATATAAACACTGAAGTACACTCATGGGCATTTTGGTACCATCAGTCCTGGATTCACCCCCACACCCACTTGAACACACTGATCTATAAACACAAGGAAAGACACAAACAAATGCAGAAATACACAAGCCTAGAGTCACAAACATATCCGGAGATACATAAACACACTCCTGTTACACAGACACACAGATAACACATGCACCCCGAGCCACCCAGTTCCCAAGGAAACGCACTCCCAAGAATGTCCGGAGTGGGGCCAGGCAAGGCTGGGCTTGGTGCCTTGCTCCAGAGATGAGACAAGGAAACCCTTAGCTCCTGGAGCCCAGGGAGGGGGAGGGCTTCGGAGAAGAACACCCATTCCTTTGTGCTTCCGCCTACCCCTCCACAGGCTGCCAAGCTTCTGAGACAGGCGAGCCCAGACAAGAAGGCTACTGGGGGGTGGGGGGTAAAGGGAGTTTAGGGTCAAAAGAGAGTGGGAGGGTACATACTTGGCAGGGTGGGCTTCTGGCTGAGGAAGGGGGGTCACTGGGGCCACAGGAAATGCTTAAAAATTCCATCATGGCCTCAGGCCCGCCCTCTTCTCAGGGAACTGAAGATGCTCTGGGAAGATCCAACAGAAGCATAGGGAGCACTGCTCACAACTACCCTGCTCACAGCACCAGGGGCAAAGGTGTTCTTAACAATGGAAGCAATGGGATTGGGGGCTGGGGAGTAAGGGCTGGGCCACCTTTGAACTTTGCCCTGCTTCTCCTTATTTCTCTGCTGTCTCACCTGCACGCACCCAAATCCTGGAGTAGATGCTCCCTCTGAGACTGAACCGGACCATCAGGAACCAGATGGCATCATGACCAAAGCCCCATTTCCTGGGTTTCTCTTTCTCAACCAGAGTCAGAAATCCTGAAGCCCTAGAGAAGGCAAGGACTTGCCCTACTGCTGCTGCTGGGGACCTGTCTCTCTGCAGTCTGTTTCCCTACCCTGTGCTCACCTCAGGGGCAGGAGGAAGGAGTGGGGCATGGTCATTCCTAGGCCAATTTTGAAGAAAATGGCACTTAAAGGCCCCAGGCATGTGAATAGAAGGAGCTTGGGAGACAACGGAATGAGTGGGATTTCCCCTGACAAAGGGCTTCCAACCAGTGAGAGTCCCCCTGTGCAGAGCCAGGCATAGTCCAAAGCTCTGGTCTTCATTATAACCTCACCTCTGGCCCCACCCACATCTGCTTTTCTTATTCCTCTGATGGAACAACTCACTGTATGAAATGATGCTCAGAACCTAGTTTCCAGAGGAACTTCCACACCTGGCCTGTCAAAGTGCCACCTGGCCAGCCCTTTACCAGCCTAATAACCATCGTAATTAGGGGTCCTTACACAACAGGGTCTCCCTTGCATAAGAGAATGGCTGGTGCTTTGGGAAACAGAGCGGTGACCATATTCATGACAGTCTTGTAGCAGGAACAGGCACATCCTCAGATTGTGCCATCAGACTCGGCTAACTTGCCCCATTTCCACAGGGGTTTCATCTTCCTCAACAGCTTCTCTAAATTCCCTTTTGGCATCGAGGAACAGTACCATTGATCCTCTTAAGACTGCTGTTCCACTTGCTCTCTCCCAACAACCATTAACAGTCACACACACTCGCTCCCAGGCCCTCTGACAGCAGGAATTAGAGCCTCTTCTCTCCGCATGGTGTGGGGAGGCAAGGTAAGGATACCCAGAAAAGAAAAGCAGGTTGAAGACAAGTCTGGCTGCTGGAGGGGTTTTGTAAGTCCAGAGGCACCTGACTATGACCATTCAGGCAGTTACCATGGTAACCACCACGTTAGGTTTCCCCTACACCCAGCATGCACAAGCTGTGACCAAGAGGCTCCCTCCTCAGTTTAGGGGCGTCAAACCTTACCCTGAGTGAGCCGGGTAGGCTGCCGGATGGGGAGCCCATCAATAGTGCAGGCATTGCCACAAGGATAGAGGGTAAGGGTACCCCGCAGGTTCTCGATGTAGCAGTGCTCTGGAGCCAAGCCTGGACCCTGAAGTGAGATGTCTCTGGCTGCGGAGCCAATCACTGTTCTCCCTGAAGACAGAAGGCAAACTAAATCAGGGGACTGTCCAGGCGGAGGAGGCAGAGAGAGCAAGAAGGGTCACTGTGGGAATCCAGGGAGAATCTCTGCCCACCACAGCTCACCCCTCCTGGGCCCCTGAGTCTGGTTGAGACTGTAAGTGACAAAAGCTCTTCTCAAACAGAAAACTCTGCCTTGGAATGGGAAGGCACAAAGGGCACAGGAGCCAGACTGAGAGAGTAGAAAAGGAGGATACCACCTTTAGTTTCTCTACCCACTAAGTTCCTTTTTCTTTTCCCCCTTCTGGCTGTTCCCTTTTCTTGCTCTCCCCTTTTCCTTCTGCCACCTGCAACCCGTCCCTTCCCTTCCTTCCTCTCACCCAGTGCAGCCTCTCCCCCAGCCCCTCCTTGGCAGAGTCCCTGGGACTGGTATTTGGAGAATGTGGGGAATGTAGTATCACCCAGGCAACAGGTGCAGCCAGGAGAGAAGAGGGGAGGGCAGAAGCTGAGAATTATAGGGAGCCACGCCAGGGCCTCCTCTTGGGAGATGGAGCCCCCTCTTCCATCTCACCATTCTCCACTGGTCCTGCCTCTCACGCACGCATCATCGTGGAGTGGGATCCCTTTTTCCCTGGGACATACTGGTTGCTAAGAGCAATGTGCTCTCCTTCTTGTTTCTAAACTGATCTTTAATCCTAGAATGGAGCCAGATTATCTACCAAAGAAGGCAGGCGGTCTGGGGAAGCATTGCTGAGACAAGGCCAGCATTGCTGGCAGAGGCAGAAGGGCCCCCAACATATGCAAGGGAATGGCCTCCAGAACAGAATGCCTGTAATGATGAGGGTGGGGGGTCCCTGTCCACGCTTACCTTCCTCCAGTGGCAGAAGGGTGATGGCTGTGCTGAGCCGCCCGCTGCCCAAGCTCACCAGATGCGGTTTGTCCGTTTGCACTTTCAGCCCTTTGCCTGTCTCGATCAGGTCCAAGGGTCCTTTCTGCAGGTAGTGGGGGTAGGAGATGAGCATCATTATAGACATTGGGCCAGCACCTTACCACCCTAGTCCCAGTCGCACCAGCATTCTCTCCAGCCCTTGTCCCTCTCTCTCCAAAGGGCTCTGAGGTGCTGAAAGGCTTAGCACAAAATCTTACACAAAGCATTATTCCACTAAATTGTAATTAGATCTGAATCTAGGCCACTAACTCGCCCCACTGGATTTATCTCAAGTCTTGGCTCAACTGCCCCTTTTGTCTATTAAAACAGAAACAAGGAGAGAAGTGGGGGGCAGAGCACTAGGTAAGGAGGAGGGGGCACTGTAGAGGAGGGCCAGCCCAGCTCCTTTCAGTTTTGTCCCTGGCTATCTACCTGGCTGCTGCTTGCCCCTACTAAACTAAGCTACAAGGAAGGGCGGAGGCATCTATCCAGGATCCAGCCCAGTGATACAGTCCAGGGACAACCTGTAAACCACTTCTGACTTTCAAAGGGGAGTTTCTAGGTGAACCAATTAACCTGATTCAGATAAAGACTCAGCTGTTAATAGGCTTGGTAACTGGGGAAGGACAGAGAGGAACAGAACTGCTGCTCTCATCCTTAGGCTAGGGCCACAGATGGGTAGAACAGCTGAACACATCCCCATCAATAACCCTCTTACGCCATGGCCCCAAACCCACTCACCTGCACCACAACCTGGGTCTTGCATCCAGGGCCTACCTGGCTCCCATTGAGAGCATCCATGGTCCTAGGACTCCAGAGTTCCTGGGGGCACAGGATAAAGGTGAGATGGGGAGCTCAGGGTAGAAGAGGGAAAGAAATAGGCTCTGTGGCAGGGTTCTCAGGGCCGAGGCAGCAGCAGCTACCCCCTCCTCACCAGCCACAACACAGCCACCACACCATACCAGTCCTGGCCCTTGCCAGGGTAAACACAAATAGCCTAATAGGGCCTGGCCTTATTTCTTTCTTTCTTTTTTTTTTTAAGAGAGAGAGAGAGAGAGAGAGAGAGAGAGAGAATTTTTTTAATATTTATTTTTCAGTTCTTGGCGAACACAACATCTTTATTTGTATGTGGTGCTGAGGATCGAACCCAGGCCACACGCATGCCAGGCGAGTGCACTACCGCTTGAGCCACATCCCCAGCCCCTGGCCTGTATTTCTGTGCTTCCTTGCTCTGTGCTACCTAGAACTCAAATCTTACCAGCTGAAGACCCCCAGCCAACTGGACCCTTAAGTAGGTTGGGGGAAATCCTACTAATGGGTGGGTAGAAGAGCAAAATCCAGGGAAGCCCCTCCAGGGACACCAGTAGACAAAGAGTCTCCAGGTGGGTAACTTAATTGAAAAGGGCTCCATCCCCCATCCTTTCCTTTTCTTCCTCTGCCTCTTTCCCAGGGGTCTCAGTAGGATGTTTTTTCTTTCTTCCTTCCTTTTGGGAGGGGGTACCAGGGATTGAACCCAGGGGACTTTACTACTAGGCTCTATTCCCAGCCCTTTTTATATTTTTTTAGTTGTAAGTGGACACAATACCTTTTTTTTTTTTTAATGTGGTGCTGAAGATTGAACTCAGTGCCTCATGCATGCTAGGCGAGCTCTCTACCACTGAGCAAGTCCAGCCAACCCTTTTTATTTTTTGAGACAGAGTCTTGCTAAGTTGCCCAGGCTAGCCTTGAAACTTGTGATCCTCCTGCCTCAGTGTGCCCTCTTAAGTTGCTGAGATTATAGGCATGAGCCATTGCCCCAGCTAGCAGGATGTTTTCTTAAAAGAGACACAGGAAAAACACAGCTATTCTTGCCATCTCTGTTTATCTCAACTCTTATGTCTTCTCTTCCCCAGAAAGCAACCTCACCTCAACCTAATCAGCTAAGTCTCAATGGTGACTATTACTGAGAATGTAGGACTATTGTGTTCTTACCTAGCTTGGTGCTGTAGGAAGCTTAGATTCCAGAATCAGAACTTGAATCCCCACCCACCTACCACCACCACCCATCCCTCTTTCCCTGGTTTATGATTCTAGTACCTGAGAAATGTGAGGAAGAAACTTTGTATGTTACTGTGTGTCTACATGTCCATCATCTGGCCAAAGTGTCAAAGTGAGAAACATTCATTGGCTGCTGAAATATTGCCCGGGAAAGCTAAGGGCTTAGGGAGGTAGATAAGGAAAGCAGGGTGTCCTTATACTGTTTCTTGCTGCCATCTACCAGGTGACTTACAGAGGAAGTAGGGGCAGGAGCCAGCATTCCAGGAAGTGTCTGACCCTGGCAAAGGATCCCAAGGGCCTCAGTCATGGAGCTACTAAATTTATCCTCCCAGGTTCCACCCTTCCGGGCCAGGACTACATCATCTCCGTCACCATTTCCAACCAAGCTGGCGGAAGAGAGGCCGGAATAGTGCCTGGGGCCCACCCCAAGCTTGCCTGGGAAGAGGGAAAGCAAAGGCCATTAACACACCAAGCCCCAAGCTGGCTTGGCATCTGCCCAGGCATCCTGGCCACAGGGAAGTTTTCAGGGACAAATTGCTATCCTGCTTCCTTAGACTCAGGAAAATCCCTCAGCATTTTCTGAGGGATAGAGACAAGAGAGTGGATTGGGAATGGGGAGTTTATGTAAAAGAATGGGTAAAAAAAATTAAAAAGTACACAATGGTGAAGAAAAGGCATCATCCTTCGGTGAAGAGTTTTATTTTTATTTTTATGTGGTACTGAAGATTGAACCTAGGGGCATTCTATCATTGAGCTACACTGCCAGCCCATTTTATTTTTTATTTTGAGAGAGGGTCTCATTAAACTGATGAGGTTGGCCTTGAATTTGTAATCCTTCTGCCTCAGCCTTCTGAGTGGCTGGGATTATAGTCATGTGCCACCACTCTCAGCTGGAAAAAAATTTTAAACTGGGATACTATAGCCTTAAATTCTCTGCTGACTTTATTATTTATTAGCTATAAAATCTTGGACAAGTTATTTAACTTCTCTGATTGTCAAGTCAATCTTCTATAAAACTAATAATAATAATTTTAAAAGATTGGATTAGTGTTTGCCTGAGGCTAAAGGTAGAATAGAGAGTGAATAAATGGGCATAAAGATTTTGAGAGGGTTGATAGAAATGTTTTAAAATTAAATTTTGATGATGGTTGCACAGCTCTGTAAATATACTAAAAAACATTGCACACTTAAATTGGGTGGATTTTATGGTATATAAATCACACATCAATAAAACTGTTAGTTTTAAAAAAAAGATTGTCTGGAGATTCAGTATTTTACTAAATGACACTCTACAAAGTGCAAAGCACTATAAAAATGCCAGCTCTTATTATGAGTTGTGTGACCTTGAGCAAGGCACTTCATCTTTCTGGGCCTCAGTTTCTTCATCTGCCACCCTGGAGTGTTTGTCACTCTGAAGCCTTTCCTGTGATCATTTATTTACACCAAAGAAATTCAAGTGGAGATAAAGAATTATGTTGATGGGGAATAAGAGTGATTAGATGAGAGGTGAGAATGGAACAAGGAGGTGAAAGGAGAGGGAGAGATAAGGAGAGAGTTGTAGGAAGAAGATAAGAGAATATGTAGAGACTGGGAGGTGCAAGGCTGTGGCTCCAGCTCAGAAACCTAACCCAAGTCAAGTGTAAGACATCCAAACCAACCTGCCCCAGCACCAGAGCTGCGTTGACTTAGGGGTCTCGCAGCGCCAGAGAGAGCGGCCTCCTGGGGGCGTCCCTTCCTCAGACCCCAACCCCAGCCGGGGCGGCGAAGCGGCTCTGCGCCCGGGCGCCCCCAACTGGCTGGCCCGCTTCCGTCCCACCCGGCTGCTACCCACTACCCTCGACTGTAATTACTCACCCGCCCCGGCCTCTGCTGCCTTTCTGGGAAACTCTGCCCCGCCCCGCCGCCAAAAAAAGGCCGCTGTGGTGTGAGTCCCACTCTGGGGCAAGGAAGCCGGCTCCCACACCCTCACACAGATGCCCAAATGCCTCCTCCGGAGCAAGGTGTGGACGCCTAACTGGCCAGATTTGGAGAGCTAC